GCAAAGAGCTTATACACATGACCCATGATATGAACAATGGTGGGAGGATTGTCTGAGGGAGCTGGGCGGTACTGGGTGGAAAAAGGCAAAGGGGGAAAAATCATGACAAATGTAATAACATAATCAATAAGATATAATTTAAAAAAAGAACTTTTCCTTTGCATTCTCAACCTGGCTACTTGGTACAAGATGCCTAGTTTTTGGTCTGTCTCAGCTTTTGACATACCTTCCTCACTAAGTGAGGCAGACTCTTCAGGTCCCTGTTTGGGCACCAGCTGAGAAGAAGACAGACTCTGTCCTGCAAAACCTCTCCAGGTCATCACAGATGGGGAAATAAGAATAAGCTGATCCAGATACTTTTCTCTCAGTCTGTCAGGGGAAGGGTGTGGCGATTCCTGCTAGTGGAGAATGTCCCCAGCCCTTCTCTTGAAGTGGCTTTTATTGAGAGCCATAATCTAAAAAACAGGGATATATAACATGGATGTAAAGCTCCTCAATCAGTGACAAAAGGCCATGTTTACAGAAAACAAACAGATAGCAATGGAAGGAACACAAGAGATTTATCTCAGGTCAGGGTGGTGCCCATTCAGCCCTGAAACCTGGGAAACCGATCACATTCTATGCTCAACCCCAAACATCAGTACTCATTCACTCAAGGGCATTACTAAAAAAGTAAGTTTCACAGGACTTAATGCATTCCTTTTCCAGGCCTAATTGTCCTCAGGAAGCGCCCGATCCAGTTTAGGGCTGTATCTGCCTTTAGTATTGTTTCAAGCCTGAGCCAGGTGGGCGGGCCAGAGCCACCAAGAGATAAGGAGACTTCTTTCAGATCAAAGCCAAAGGGTGAGGGTCTTTTTCCCCTTCTCTCTGTCCCCCAAGTCCTTCCCTGATGGCCCCTATGCAACTCTGCCTGTCTTAGGTTGCCCCTGCCACTGAGGGGTCTTACCTGTCATTGACTAACCAGCCATACCCTGTGGCCAAGCAGGGTGATGTGAGCCCTGCTAGGCAGACAGGTTTTGTCTCCTCAGTGGCCTATTTTCCCGAGGCCTCCTTGCTCAGCTCCAGCCTTGGGGCCTTCTCACCTGTTGGCGAGGCTACCGTCCCTGAAGCCCGGAGGGATGGTTCCCAACAACTAAGCTTAATCATTTCTAGCTTTTGATTTAAAGTGAGAGATGCGGAATTTTCCTTTCACTTGAACACTCAGAGGCCATTGTAGGGATATTAATTGGCCTAATTTCAATATTGTTATGTCTCAAGAGCAGAATGGCCCAAGGGGAGGGAGGGAGATGAAAAACGGCCAGGCAACCAGAACACATGCAACATTTATCAATTAAGTTCACTATCTTATTGTAAACAATTACAATAGTAACATCAAAGATAACTGACCACAAATCATATAACAAATATAATAATGAAAAAGTTTGAAATATTGTGAGAATTATCAAAATGTGACAAGAGACATGAAGTCAGCAAATGTTGAAAGAAACGGCACTTACAAGCTTGCTTGACACAGGGTTGCCACAACATTTAATTCATAAAAAGCCCCAATATCTGCAAAGCACAATAAGGTGAACACAATAAAATGAGTTATGTATGGTAAAGAGATAGGTTTACAACGGGAAGCCTTGAGTTTGATCCAAGCTCTATCCCTTATTCCCTGTACATGATCCTTAAGATTGCATTTTCTAATCTGTAAAATGGAAGTTAATACTTGCCCTGCATAGCTCAATGGCTTATTATGAAGATTAAATGTGATAATGTAAATGTTTTACAAATGTTCACATTTTTTTTATTGCATATGCTATATATTGTGGGTGTTAAATATCTAGTTACAAGAATGATTAGAGTGAATGGGTTCAAAAGAAAGAGACTAGTAAGACTTTGTCAATGAGGTAAGTAGAAAGAAGATATGATCAGTGGGGAAAAAGCAGGATAAGGAATCCCATATGCATTGTTCCAGAACTAGGCCAGGGTAAAAATCTATAGATTTATCTGGCTGTAGTAAAGCTCCTGAGAGCCTGCGTTAGCTAGACAGTTATTGAAGGAACAGTTGGTAGTGGACATTAAATTCCGTGATTAGGAGCTTTAATTTGATCTCAAAGCTAATTAAGCCCCACTGCTGGGCTCTGGGAAGGGGTATTACCTGAGGTCAGCAACAGCATTCTGAGTGCCAGCCTCGGCCTAATTTGAAGCTAAAGAACAGCAGAAGATTAAGGAGATTAAACAAAAATATAGCCCCAATCCTGTATGTTTTGCCACTTCCTAAAATGACCTTTTAAAGTGTTTAGTGTCTGAATTCAGGTCACATTATCAACACCTTCAGAGGAAAATAGTGATTGCTTTCCTGCCTTTGCTCATCTTTGAAGAGTGATGTATGTTATTGATAATGTCATTAAAACCATCAGCAGCATGGTATGTTGGAAAGGATACTGGGCTAGCATAGTCTCAGCATCTGTTTGCGTTCTAACTCTAAGGGTGACTGGAAATTGAAGGAGAAATCAAATAAAGAAATTAAGTTGCAGATGACACAATCACAGGTTTTTGTGCATGTGTTCCAGGTGTCTGCAGTACACCTATGTTGTAAAAGGCACCATGTTAAGTGGGCCTATAAATGTGAATGGAATATATATATGCCTTATTCTCAGAACTTTATTAATTAATGGAATAAAGGCGAATATACCTAGTTGTGATTATGATGGTGACAATTGTGATTATGATGATAAATACACACATAAGGGCATGTGAGAGGTGGTGAAAAAATACCCCCACAAAAAAAAAAAATTGGATCTAGATGACGGAAAAAGCATTTCCTGTATCCTAGACACTAATTATTTTCTTCATTAGTCAGTTTGCATCTCCATTAACATACCATAAACAGTAATTAAAGGTTTGGGAATTTTACAGTATAAACTTAGAGGAATGTACCACAGACATCTGATTCTGTATAGAACCATAAAAAAATTTTTTTTCAAGTGGCAGATCGCAGAGAATATCCACCTAACACTTTAATTTCATGGATTAGAAAACTGAGGTCAAAAAGAAAAGTGATTCAATGTAAAAGACAAAGTCAAGGAAGAACTGTTTTCCTGATTCTTAATGCAGTGGTCATCTATCATGCTGGGTTTGGAAAGATTTTTATAAGGGATATTTACAGGAAACATAATAGTTCAATTTTTTGTTACCCCAAGAAAGCGGTAGTACTTTGGTGCCATTAGAAGTTCAAATCAAACTTTGTGGACTTTTGTTGTTGTTTACTTGCAACTTTTAATACATTAAAGTTAAAAAAATTACATGTTTTTTTAAAAAAGAAATTTGCAGTGAGTGTATTTTGTCTCCAATTAATTTATGAGTTTCTAATTTTAGTCATTTACTGTAAATTTTTGGGTTATTTTATCTTTAATTTGGCTTAATTATAATTTTATATTTGAAGCCTGTGGGAACGTGAAAAACAATATACTATAACTCATAATTGGCACAAAAAACATGGATAAAAACAAAATTTTGGAATATCCAAAAATACTATTCAATGTAAATCTTAACTGACTTAGTAGGTCTTATTGAAATAGTATTGAATAATTGGCAGAATTGATTTGGGTTTAATTCTGAAAAAATCTGAATAAACAAGTTTAAAGTAAGTAAGGGAGTAGCAGAGACTGGGTACAAGGAGGTATTGGTAACTGAGATGAAGGAGAGGTGTTTCATTAGAACATTAGACTGGTGTTTCTCAGAGTGCGATGGGAAGATTCCCAGCTTCAAAATCTCTCTCATGTGAAAAATGCAGATTCCTGTGTCATTCCCTTGACTTACCAAATCAGAACCTCTGGAGTGTGACACGCCCTTCAGGTGGTCTCAGTGCACATTAGGGACATTTTCAGAGGGCAAATATATGTTTCTACTGTGTCATGCTGGTATTGGTCAAGAGAAGTGTTAAATGATTTAAAATAGAAACAGAGAGAGTCAGTTTGAGGAGACTATACGTAGACAGAGACGTACATGGAGAATGGTCTCGGCCCCCCGCTGGTTTGTTTCTTGTGCCTTTGATGGCAGGGCTGTTTTCAGCAGTCCTGCTCCTAGCTGTTTGGTTCTTCTCTTGATTCGCAGGTTCTCACTGACCTCAACCGTATGTGAATCAGGGTCCAAGACCCCCATCTTCTTCCCTTGAGGTCACCTCTTTTCAGAGCTCTGGCCTCCATTTCTACCTGCACCCTGGGATCTGCCCTCAGATTCAAGCTTATCTCAGTCTTTTTCAGATCATTTTCACAAAGGTCTTGTTGTTAAAAATGTCAAAGAATAAGAAAGAGCGCAATTTGAACAGAGATATACGTGTTACTAGTCTAGCCCTTGACTCTGGCTTTGATAATCAAAGGTATCACATTGGCCATTTGTTGCTCATTATATTTAGCTAATTCAACCGAAGAACCTATCTCACTGAGCAGATTTTACTATGTACCTTGGGCTTTTCTTTTTAAACATGGAATGCTGGAAGCAATAAACTCAGAAATTTGGAGAGAAGACATATGACAATGGTATTTATTAATTCTGAAAGATGTTTTTCTTGAAATAATGATCTTAAAAACAGCTAAATATATAGATCTGACCCATAAATATTATACTTAAGAAAAGATGTTCTTAGGTTTGAAGCTTTTTTATTTTGTAAAGAGATATTTCACTTTTAGAATTGTTTATGTACTTTATTATTTTTTTATAAAAATAAATCATAATGAGAAAAGCTAAGTTGTGTTTAGCTTTTGTAACCCAAAGAACAACATCTCCGGCTAATTAGGACACCGTATCCTGAGAGCTTTTGTAGGAGTAACACAGTTAGAAAAAGAAATGGGTTTTGGAGAGCTGCGCATCCGTCTACAGCAGCCTGACCCTAGAGCAGTGGGCCCCCTGCTGCTGTCACAGGGAGATCAGACTTCTTAAGAACCATGGACGAACCGGGCATTGTCTCCTGTCGAAACACACCTCTGCTTCAAATAAACCATCTTCTCTTTTAGGTCAGAAACTCTGCAAACTGAAGGAAGGTAACTGCAGAGGCAGCGTGTGTGGGCGAGACCCTAAGTCTCATTCGTGCTCCTGTGCGGAGGGATATGCCTTAAGCCCGGACGGAAAGTACTGTGAAGGTAACGCGCGGTGGCCCTCTGCAGCAACGACAGCGGCTGCTCTTCCAGCGGGCCCTCCAGAGCCTCAGTGTGAAACCAATTTTACTCCCCACCTTCTTTCCACAAAAAAAAATTTTATCTGTCCTCCCCCGCACACACGTTTTTATTTATTTTTTTAAAGATTTTATTTTTTTATTTTTAGAGAGAGGAAGGGAGGGAGAGAAACATCAATGTGCGGTTGCCTCTGGCAGCACCTTACTGGGGACCTGGCCCTTAGTCCACGCATGTGCCCTGACTGGGAATCAACCTGCGACCCTTTGGTTCACAGGCCAGCACTCAAGTCACTGAGCCACACCAGCCAGGGTCACCCCCGCCCCCCCCCACACCCCTCATGCTTTTAAAGTCTTTGTGATACTTTCAGCACCTCATTATAGATTCTGTTCCTAGATCAAATGCTTCCAGAGGCTACTCAGAGGTTAACATTAGACAGGGGTTCTCTGAGTGGATTCCATGGACCTCCGTGGGTTTGACTGTGTGCAACATGTCAGTATTTTCAAATATTTTTGGGAGGTAGTCCCATAGCTGTCAAGATTCTCAAAGAGTATGCAATACCGCGTTTCATCCCATGGAGGTCTAGTGGGAATCCAGAGAAACTGTGAAGCAGGCTGGTCGTCAGGGCTCCTCCTACTTGAGACTTTAGACCACATTGAATGAACCCAGAAGAAATACTGGTCCTTTCTTCAGTGAGCTACTGATGAAAAGAATCCAATGGAAGTAATTGGGTTGAGACATTGGGTCAACGTGACACCTACATGTTAAATATAGTCCCCTGCTCACCTGGGATTAGTCAGAGGGAGCCATCCCATAGAACAGCGACCTGGAAGGGTGGGTGTCAGTCCGTACGATGTTGCTGAGCGCGCCCACCTTCAGGTGATGGCTCCTGTCATCTTTAAGAAGCTGAAGAGCAGAGTAGGAACGTTCTTTTCTTGTCAAGAACTTTCAACAGCCCTGCCTTAGCTGGCTTTAAGTTGATATATCTTTTCAGGGGAAGTTGTACTATATTTTTTCCCCAAGAGTAATTCTATATTTGAAAGTTTAAACTATGACAGAATAAAAATGACTTTCATGATAATTGAACCGATTTCTCTCACCCTCTGCTGGGATAGCAAACACAGCCTTTTTATGGTCAGGTACAGTGGGTATAAGTGAGAGACTATTTTGAGCTGACTTATTAGGGATACTACAATTTATTTGCAGAAGTTACCACATGTGTTTTGCTGTTGTTACTGTGTAGATATCAATGAATGTGCCCTTTGGAATCATGGCTGTACTCTCGGGTGTGAAAACATTGCTGGATCCTATTATTGCACATGCCCTGCAGGATTTGTTCTGCTTCCTGATGGGAAACGGTGTCACCGTAAGTCACAACAAGTATTTATCGCATCATTTCCTTCATGTTCACTGATGTTTCTGAGGTCTGGGCTATGGTCTGGGTTGATGGGCTTGGATCAGCAATATGCATCAGAGTTACCTTCGAGTTTTATTTTGTCTTCTTTTTTTAATGAATGACTGGACTCTCCCCCACATCTGTTAAACCGAAACTTCTAAGGTTGGAAAACAAGTTTCTTTATCCATGTTTTATGATATTTTGTTAAACAGCATAGAGCAAAAGTAGGTTTACATGTGTTTGTATGGAAAATATTACAGTCCTGACTGGGTTGCCTCAGTTGTTGCAAATAAATGTTTTTGAGGGTTTTTTTTTTTCTTGGTAAATATCCAAAAGAGGGATTACTGGGTTTTATGGTAACTCTATTTTTAGTTTTTTTAGGAATTGCCATACTGTTTTCTATAGTGGTTGTACCAGTTAACATTTCCACCAGCAGTGAAGGAGGGTTCTTTCTTCCCCACAATCTGTCTTACACTTATTACCTGTCTTATTGATAATAGACATTCTAACAGGTAGTTTTGATTAGCATTTTCCCTAATAGCTAGTGAAGTTGAACATATCATATATCTGATAGTTGTTTGTATGTCTTCTTGGGGGAGGTGTCTGTTCAGGCCTCTGACTATTTTTCAATTGGATTATTTGTTTGTTTGGTATTGAGTTGTATGAATTCTTTTTATATTTTGGATATTATTAACCCCTTGTCTGAGCTGTTTGCAAATAACATCTACTATTCAGTTGGTTGCTTTTTTGTTTTGTTGTCAGTTTCTTTTACTGTGCAGAAAAAGCTTTTTAGTTTGATATAGTCCCATTCATTTATTTTTAGCTCTACTTCCTTTGCCTTTGGGGTCAAATTCATAAAATGTTCTCTCCCATCAAGGTCTATTGTTTAGTAGCTATGTTTTCTTCTATGTTCTATATTATTTCAGATCTTACATGTAATTCTTTGATCCATTTTGAATTAATTTTTGTACAAGGGGTCAAACTGTAATCTAGTTTCATTTTTTTGCATGTGACTTTCCAATTTTCCCAGCACCATTTTTTTTTCTCCATTGTGTGTTTTGGCTTTTCACTTTTTATAATGAGTTGGAGGTGAGAGTTGACTCCAGCAACTTTTTGTTTTTTCAGTGACCATCTTCCTTCTTTTCGTTTGAGACCCCCACCTATTAAAAACACACCAAAGCTGCCAAGATGGCTGGGGGGCAGGGCAAGAAAGAGCCCAGTTGTCTCTCAGGGCATGTTTGTAGCAGCCATTACAAATCACTCCTTAGATTCATTATTCCTCCCCCTACCAAAGAGTTTATTTATTTATTTTTAGACATAGGGGAAAGGATAGAGAAAGAGAGGGAGAAAAACATTGATCTCCTGCCTCTCCTACATGCCCCATCCAGGGACTGAACCCGCAACCCAGGCATGTGCCCTGACTGGGAACAGAAACCGCAACCCTTTGCTTTGTGCGACGCTACCCAACCAGCTGAGCCACACTGGCCCAGGCTAGATTCATTATTTCATCAAGGATTTCAAATGGTGATAGCTAGTTCTAGTAGTAACTTTTAATTATTCATTGGAAAACGTTTATAAAGAAAATATTCTTGCATTAACTATTTGGTTACTGCAAGATACAATTTGTACAGTTAGATAAGATAAATACTGGATTTGCAACAATTTTGATGTGTTTCTACCCACTGTGGTTGTTATCCTTACCACTGAGAAAACCGTTTCTTTTTGGCCAATGGGAGCTTCTGCAAATGGGTCCTTGACCTCAGTAGTCTTTAATAGTTTCCTCATTACCTGTAGCACATATTTTCTAAGCTTGTCTTGTATATTCTATTACCTAGACCTGAATTTATCAATCTCTGGAGGCACATTGTTTCCTTTTGATGGGAAATTGTATTTAGAGAACATAATCTGTTACTAATTAGTCATTGTTTCTAAGTCTTTTGGGTAATCAGAGGTAGGAATACAGTTTTTTATAAAGTATATTGTGAGTTTATATGAATATTTTCAACTCAAATTTAGGATTACATACTCAGATATCTTCTTATAGAATTCTTATAGAATCTACTAGTATAGCTAAGTAGAAAAGCTAAGTAGAAATATAAGATAATGTATATGGTTTAGACGTGCTTCAGAGATGATGGGGCATAGGTCAGTCTGGATGTCATATGTGCTTATGAAATTGGGCACATGCAAATGGATGAATGATAATGAATTTCTTGGAAATTACTATTACCTTTGTGCCTGTCTATGGAGCTTGTCCTTCTTCTAAAACCACATGGTTTACCTATTGGCAAATATATTCAAGTACATGGTGTTATATGTTGTGGAGACCACTCTGTGCCAAGCACAATACGTACACTCTCACTTGATTGTCCAATTTCTAGAACTTTTATAGTGTATATTTTACATTATAATGTTTGGTTTACTTGGAATTTATTTTGATGTATACTGTAGAATACGAATTTAACTTTTGCTCCAAATCATTACTCAGTTATTTCTCTACCATTTATTGTATCATCTTTCACATGCCCAATGATTTAAAATACTGGGTTGGCTAAAATTTCCATTTAGTTTTCTCCATAAAATAAAAGACACAATTTCATTTTTACCAATAACTTTATTGATGTGGATATTTTGAGTATGTTGGCTCTCTCCCACCATTGGCTTCTAGTGGGTAGAGGCCAGGGGTGCTGCTAAACATCTTCCAGTGCATAAGACAGCCCCACCACAAAGAATTATTTGGCAAAAACGTGAATAGTACCAAGAAACTTTGCAAACCACTTTTGACACTTTCAATCAGTAATAGCACCTTCTCCATATACTATACAAGTCTTTTTTGTGTGTTTCAGTTGCATTTTTACCTTTCTGGAAATAATAAAGCATAATATGCTGAAATTGTTATATATCTTCTTCCATCCTCAATATTAAAATGGCTGCACAAAAATTCACCAATTTTGATGTTTTATTTAAATATACACCGATATGATAGCTGTGACAGTACAATTTACCAAAATTGTTTTGAATGAAATTAAAGTCACCTAAGCACTAGTAGAGCCACTGTACAGAAAAAAATGGAACAAACTTTTTGGCCAACCCAATACTTTTGTCACAAGCTATATTCTTATGTGTACTTTAGTCTTTTCTAAAATAGTCTTTCTATTTGGTTCTAATATCCTTTCTGTCTCTTCATGTACTCATTACTCACCACTTTAATTATTGCTCTTTTATGATACGTTTTAATATTTGTTCAGTGCCTCTCATTCTCTTTCTACACCTCACCACAGTTATACAATGTTCTTAGTTTTCCCTACACACACAATCTTTTTTTCCAGATGACTTGAGAATCATTCATCCAAGTTCCATTTAAAATATTTTGGAATTTTGATGACTAACAACTTTAAAAATATTATTTGACATAAATGAAACTTAGAGGAAACTAGTTGTTTTCCAAGATCAGAGGTTTTTAATAATTTTTTAGATTTGAATTTTTCTTTATTTTTGTATGTTCATTGCCACAGCAATTCATAAATGTTTAATTTTTATTTAACTTACTTTTTTAAGATAATATTTTAATGACAATTAAATTTACTCAATTTCCACAAACTGATTTAACATTAATCTTGACCTTATTCTTCATGAATTAGAATTAATTTCCTGCCCAAGCAATGCATCTGAATGCAGCCATGACTGTGTTCTGACTTCAGATGGTCCCACGTGTTTCTGTCCAGAAGGCTCAGTGCTTGAGACAGATGGAAAAACATGTAGCGGTAAGTTTATATACTATTTGTTTGAAAGTATTTATTTTCTAAGGTATGCCTAAAATTTGCATATTACTAGCAAAGAAGAAAAGATTTTCCAACATTATACATCAAAAGATATTTATGCAATGGATTAGCCTAGATTTCAGTGATATTTTTGGTTTTTGTTTTGCCTTTAGATAGCTCAGTGTGGAGTTTCTCAGCAAGGGCTTTAAAATTAGGCAGCCTTGAGGTTGCACGATCAGTTACTCACAGTGTTATTTTGGACTAGTCACTGCTCTCTCTTGGTCTCAGTTTCCTCCTCTGTAGAGAGGTTAATGATACCTGCCCCCTGGATTTGTAGCCTGGATTAAGCAGGTTGGTGGGTACAAGTGCTTAGCCTGTTCCTCGCACCTAGAAATACCTCTTTACTTTTATCTTCATAGACTGAAACATATAGAGGAATTGATGTAACTAAATTAGCAGAAGACTTATGTGTGGCTTTTTAAAAAATAAAAATAAAGAAAGCAAAAGAAGTCAAGAGGCCAAAAATGTGAGAGAGAGAAAAATATATTACTAGGAAGAGTTAGACCAATTGCCAAACTCATCAAAATGTATTTTGTAATCTGGCCAGTTGCCAATGCACGTGTTCTTGAACTCAGTAGTAGAACAAGAGGACAAGGGCCATTGGGATGTGAAGGGTTAACTTCAAGATGTTAGGTTATAAGGAAGTAGAGTATGGTGACATTTTGCTTCTAATCTCGGAAAAACAACTTGATTGCAGCAGTATGAGTGATTGTGGACGTGATTTTAAAAATCAACATATACTTGGCTCACCTCAATATTCTGATAGAAAATTGTATTTTTGAATGATATAGCATCATTAGCTAATTGTTTTTTATAGGCTGTTCATCGCCTGATAATGGTGGGTGCAGCCAACTCTGCCTTCCACTCAGCCCAGTATCTTGGGAATGTGGTTGTCTTCCTGGGTATGACCTACAACTGGACAAAAAAAGCTGTGCAGCTTCAGGTTAGTGCTGTGGGTGTCTGAGTGTGTCTGCGAAAGTGTGTGAAAACCACATTGCATTTAGAAAGACAGAGCATTAAATTGCTTTTGACCTCTGGGTAGAACATCTGATTTTTTTTTTATTCTTGGAAATGGAAAACAAATTACATTATAAGTATAAATAAATAATAATCATGTTTTTGAGGAATATTCAGACGTTAATTAGTATTTGGCAAAGATTTACTATAACATCAAGTGTGGCATTCTAGTATATGTGAAAGTCATGACCAGAATGGATTTCAACACTTTATAGTCAAGAGGAATTGAATAAATATTTGTTTATTGATTTGATTGTCAACTCTCCAGTGAATATAATAATAATAATAATACTTGAACAAATTCTGTTTTCTTTCATGTTGGAATTTAATATGAAGTTGTATGCTTCAACTATATTTTCTTCTGCTGTTATTACATCTCTTGTGTCCTCAACAGCCTTGGAAATCCTAGATTCATACCACATTGATTTCATCTCTCCTGATGTTCATCATGATTATAATCTGGGATAACATTAACATGATGATGAGCCTGCAGAGTTTGCCTTAGTTAGAGCTCAATACTTTCAACTTCCCAGGGCCTTAGTTAATATAACATAATCTGAGTTCTGAAAGATAACAAGGGTCTTTTTGTTAACTCAAAAAATCATGCTTCCCTTCAAGAAGTGCTCAAGCCAGAGAAGGGCATTTATTTGGACATGAATTAATAAAATCTGCTAATATTAATATGCTTCAGTGTGTGTGAATCAGGGAGATTACATCACTAAAACTTGTATCATTTAGTTATGGTGTTAGTTATTTAATGCTGGCTCCTTTTTAAGTAATTTGCATTTTAAAAGCAGGCCTCTAGACAGGGAGGAATCCAGTGATGAAATTCTGGCAGTATGTCACCTCATGGAAGAGAAACTCTTCTTGCCTGTCTTAACCTACACATACTGGTGGGAAAATAAGAAAACAACTACTGCAGAAATTAAGGAAGAGGGCGCAATGAAAGGGAAGAGTCAGAAGTGCCTCTTGTCTTCCAAGGCATATTTTAAATGGAGCCATATTTAAATTTGGTTATCAGGACCACTACCGTTTCTGCTGTTTGCCAATTCTCAAGATATTCGACATATGCATTTTGATGGAGCAGACTATGGAACCCTCCTCAGCCAACAAATGGGAACAGTTTTCGCACTTGATCATGACCCTGTGGAAAATAAGGTACCTTTTTGTCACTTGAACAGATGTGGCTGTGCTTTAAGAATAGAGTAGAGAATTTTGTCTCAACAGATGACCTGGACTACTTGAAAATCCTCTGCTAAGATCAAACCCATTAGGCACAGAAATGTTTAAATATAGACATTGAAACGTCATTTGAGAAATTTTAAGGATTTTCTGTTATCATAACCCTGGTTCTTGATGGGATTCAGCCATTTTATTGGAGATGGTTGAACAGAGTCTCAAGTTTAGGTTTGTTTCTGGACATGAGGATGGGAGCCTAGTACAGTGCCCCCACTATACGTATAGTGAGAAGCCCATAAATAGGGAGAAGTGGGAGATTGGGGTGGGGCTTAGAAAGTTTGAGTTAGTAATTTGCATTTGGTACATTCATTGAGGGAAGGAATTCAGTGGCTTCTTAACTGCAAAAATCAGAAAACATAAATTTTATCGCTCATTTGGGAATGGCAGTCTAACTCATGACATTTTTTACATAATCAATTTTCTTCATGAAGTTTTTGTATAAAACTTGAAATTTTTATATTTTTCAACTCAATCAGTTGATCATTTGATCTTTTTTAGTTGTATTTGTGCTAAATTAGAATGTGCTTGAAATAATATTACAGCATCCTTTGGGGAGTTATCACCCATATATAAATTTACATAGTTATTAATTACCCTCCATAATTATTTAGTTATTGTTAGATTAATTCTTAGAATTTTAAACTTTGTACTTTTGTTTTTTCCTGATTTGAAGCAGTCTGGAAAATGGCCAAAAAACAGGGAAGCAAACCGATTCTGTATTTAATTGGTATGGATTGATGGCCAACTATAACTACTTTTGCAAATAGAAGTTTAGTAATTAAACACTAGTGAACAATTCATCTTTCCTTTTCCTGAGCTGAATTGAACATCTGTATGACTCCATGGAAGAATTATTAACAGAAAAAAGTAATTAATAGAAAAACTCAGTTCAAGATTCAGTTATTACCAAAGAAGTCTTTTTTCCTTCACAGTCAGTATTTTTACAACTAGGCAAATAAGAAGACCTAGAATGAATTTTAAGTTGTGTGCTTTTTAAAAAATTTTTCTGGTCAACGTTCTTATTTTCTTGCGTCTCAAACGGTGCTCCTTGGACCAGCAGTGTTACCAACCTGGAGCTTGTTAGAACCGCAGACTCTCAGGCTGCACCCTGACCATGGAATCAGAGTCTGCATCTGAACAAGATTCCCAGGGGCTTTCTGTGCCTCTTCCAATTTGAGAAGCAGCACTCTAGCAGATTGTTTTTGAATATGAGATTTTTATTAATTATAAAATATAACCTCTTCTATTTTATCTGGAAAGGTTATAGCCCATTATTTAATGAATTGCCATTTTGTGAATACTCTCATCGATTATAGGTTTATGTATATATGTGTACTCACAGTTAAAATCCCACATATGCTATTATTAAATAGTAAGATGACCCACAGCAGTTTTTAATATTCTTATGAAATACTTGTACCTGTTTAATAGTCTGCATACTAGACTGAAAAAAAAACCAATTTTGTACCTGCAAAGTATGCTCTACTGGACAGTATCCAATATGGATTAATTAAAATGTAATTGAGTAAGGTTAAAGATGAAGAATAACTTTAACAAATATTTAGTCTAACTTCATTATTTTTACAGTTGAAAAAATTGAGGTTCAATTACTTAGCTAAGATAATGAAACAATAAGTGGCAAAACTGGGAGAAACCTGTGTGCCCCGGCTTGCCGTGAAGCAGAGTGCCGTGGGCTGCGCAGTAGAGGGCGGAGCCAGCGTGTAGCTCCTGTTAAACTGAAAATCATTGCTCCCTTTCAGGCTGTGGGAGCTTAGGGTTCAAATGCAATGGCTTTGTTATTAATCAATGATCAAAGATTAATAAATTCCCAGTCACAATAAAACTATGTGCCAGGCACAGGACTAAGGACATTTTGTTGTTGTTGTTTCGTTGTTTTGTTTGCTTGTTTACTTTTATTGTTGACACTATTATAGATTTTCCAATTCCCCCCTCCCCTTTTCCCTCTACACCAAGCTGCCAAGCCCCACCTCAGCCTTCATCAAATTGTTGTCTGTGTCCATAAGCTATGCATATATGCATATATGTTCTTTAGCTAATCTCTTCCAGTTCCTTCAAGGAGTTTTATACATAAAACTAATATACTTGGTGTTATTATCCCCATTTTACCAATGAGGAGACTGAGACTCTGAGACATTGACTAACTTGCTTAAGTTTACAAGTATCTAAGAAGCGGCATAGTTGAAGTTCAGTTACAGGTATATCGATGTCCAAAGGCAAGTTCTTAATAATGCCACTGTATGATACTTAACCCACTTTTATATATTCCATATTCATTTTTAAAACAAATCCTTCAGAAATGCCTGTGTTTTCTTTTGTAGGTATACTTTGCCCATACGACCTTGAAGTGGATAGAGAGAGCCAATATGGATGGTTCCCAGAGAGAAAGGCTTATTGAAGAAGGAGTAGATGTTCCAGAAGGTCTTGCTGTAGACTGGATTGACCGTAAACTCTATTGGACAGACAGAGGGTATGTTCCTTTTAGCCATGTGCGATAGGAGTGATGGGATAGGTAATATCGCTGGCTTCACCCTCCACGTTGAATACAGGAAAATACGCCTGGGGATCCGGCTGAGAGTGGAAGAAAGATGCCCCCAACCCTATTCACACTCCCCCGACCCCATCCCACCACAAAACAAATGTTTCTCTCTCCATCAAGATTGGATCTGTATCTGTAGGAGAATTTTGAAGACCAATTAAGTAGCATGTGCTTTTGCACTTCAGGCTAGTAACGCAAAACCTGTGGGGATACAGTCACCAAGCATTCTGTGGGCGTCTGCTATGGATGGGGTGCTCTCCCAGGTATCACGGGAGGCACAAAGGAGCTTGAGGAGCTTTCAGTCGGCTCACAGTTTAACCAGGGGATAAGGAACATATACACAGGAAACACTAATACAAAGGCTTGGTCTAAATTTTAGTACAAGAAATGTCATAAGGCCATGACTAAATAATTGCCAAATGAGGGAGTGCTGGAAGGGGCTTCAGGGATCAACTGGCCCAGCCCCCTCATTTTACAGACAGCGCTCAAAAAGGCTAACTGATTTATTCAAGGTTACACAACATGCAAGTGACAAATCTTGGACTAGAATCCACATGATGGCTCTCTAAGCGACAGGAAGATGGGAGAGAGAGCTTCATGTTAGAGTTGAGAGAAAAGCCCTCTTGAGATCAGAGGAATGGACTGCTTTCACTTTGGTGGGAAATAGCAGAGCCAGAGCAAAGCTGTGGTGTTTCTGTCCCCTGACACACTGCTCTTAAGGCTGCAGGAAGGACTGGAGGGCTTTGGCGCGGTGGGGGCGGGGTGGGGCCGCGGCCAGGGGAGGGGGAGGGAATGTGTGTGGCCTGCGTGGCCCCAGGAACGGTGGTGGGGGTAGGAGGAGAGTGAGGAAGGAAGTGTCCACATCCCCCACTCATGCTGTGAGAGCCCACTCCTCTGCGTCGGAGAGAGAGGACGCCAACCACAGAGCACCTCACAGGGCAGTGTCAGAGACGTTCCGTGCTGGAATGACATTTGCCCAGAGTTGCTTAAAACCAGAAAGCGAAATGATGGCCAGTCTGAACACCTGGTACCCATGGAATCATGTTAAATTAAAAGAAAGGAGAATTAATTAGGGTTTCACATCAGTGAAATCAGCCATGCCAACATAGAGGGAGAAGTCCCAGGAAACAGGTTTATATGCTTGGGGGTAGGCTTTCTATGTTCCAGAAATTCTCTTTTGGTCTGGATAACCCATGGGAAACATGAACATTTTTTTTAAATTTTATTTATTTATTTATTTTTAGAGAAAGGAAGGGAGGTAAAGAGGGAGAGAAACATCAATGTGTGGTTGCCTCTCATGTGCCCCCTACTGGGGACCTGGCCCACAACCCAGGCTTGTGCCCTGACTGGGAATCGAACCAGCAGCCCTTTGGTTTGCAGGCCAGCGCTCAATCCACTGAGCCACTCCAGCCAGGATGGAAACAAGTACATTTTAAAAAATAAACCAGATGTATGATGTGATGTACGGTTATCAGTAATAAGGCACATCTACACCAGAGTGAGCATATTTTCATTCATTCATTTGTTCATTTAACTATACCTTCATTCTTTTATTTTTTGGATGTTTATTTATTAACTGAAATGTTCCAGATGCTGCACTAAGAACTTTATATCCATGATATCATCCAGTCCCCCCAAAATAAGTTCTTTTATTCCCAACTTAAAGATTTAAAACATTGAGAATCAAAGAGGGAAAATAACTTTATCAAAGTCAAACAGCCCACAAGTAGTGGATCTGGAATTTGAACTCAAGGACAACAACTTCCAAAGCTTATGCCTTTTATAATCATAGATAGATACTGCATCCCCTATCACAGCTGATTAAAATGTGCTCAACCTAGAGTCATATAACAAATGAAAGTCGGCTTTAGTTGTAATAATAATAAAAATCATAATAACGACCTTCTCTGTGATGAGCCTACTTAAAAGGACATTTAAAATGTCAGCTGTGCATAATAACAGAGCTTGTACACGGCTGTTCTCAGAAGTGTAAACGCTGATCAGGACAGCAGATGTCAGCCGCTGTCGACCCCTCTAAGGATGCTGGGTCTCCTCATATTTCCCACATTTGCCTGGCACCTCTAATTTTAACAGTGTTTGATTAATAGCACTGTGGGGACCTACTGCCGAGGTGATGCCTTCAGGACATAGACAGGCACCGTATCCTGGAGAAGCAGACCTCAGAGTCCCTAGTTCACTGACTTCAGTAATAACATGCCCTTCTTAAATCCTCTTTCCTCCAAAGGCAGCTGCTAAAAGAAAACCTTTAATTTATCTGGAAATGAAAGGTTTATAGTTTGAAAACCTTGATATTAGCTAGAAATTGGATTTAAATAACTGAGATTCCAAGCTTGTGATATTAGATTACATGGTAACTCTTAACCAATAAAAGAACCAGAGGGGATGCTTCTAGTTTATATTGGCTTCGGAAAAGACAGATTCAAATTAACACCTAACAGTAGGAAGGAGGCTAATTGATAATTTCACTAGCAATGCTATTATTTAGTGCTAAGAATCCTGATTCCTAAAGTCAATTGCCCAGCAAAGAAGACATCAGTAGAGTGAAAAAATATATATCTATTTGTTCACTGTTTTGAAATAAAAACTACTGTGAGGTAAAGATCACTTCTCTATGTTTCTGGATGGCCAACTCTTGCCCTGGAAGAGTGTGGGTCTTAGAGGGTCCCAGTGACATTGGGGCCAGTTAGGTAGTGGATATAAAGAGAAAGATGTTCCACTAGATTGAGGGTTGTGCTTGAACTTGGGTGAGCCCAGTGTCCACATTCCTCTCAGCTTTCTCATTACCGGTAGTGGAGTTTGGGATTTGCTTTCTGGCTGAATCAAATAGAACTGTGGTATCGAGCTAACAGCTCCAGAGTCAGGAGCTTATGTTGGTCTCAATTCTCATCACCTTACTCCTGCTCAGAACAGTAAGAATTTAGAGGTGATGTAACAAGAAGCCCAGAACCAACTGTCAGAAGAAAATCGTTTCAGAATTCCTTCACTCCCAACCAGGGAACAGACACAGTGACCGTTGTGGCTGAGTGACTTTGACACATTGAGTTCAGAAATACCTTCTATCCAGCAATACCCTTCTGACAAGAATAAAATTATCTTTTAAAACTGGCAGTGGAATATAAATGGTTTAAAAATTATCCACTGCCCTGAGCTGGAAGTTTGTAAAGCATATTTGACCCAACACAGACCCTAAGCCAGTTTTACCTTAACCTTCCCCCTGCATATAGCCTGTGAGGAGGAATTTATAAAACCCCTTCTCCACCTAGCAGCTAGAAAGTGCACTCCAATAAGCCACTGCAGAAGGGCTCCTAAGCATTTTGTATAATCAGGAGGAGAGAATGATCCTGCCTCATGCTTCTGGGCAGGCCTGCCTATCTACATTACCTACAAGAACACGAGGGTAAACCCTCCCCAGATGTTTGCTGAATGAATTCAAGATAGTTATATTTCCTAATTTGCAGAAGGGAAACAAGGCTAGCAAGCAGCACACAAGAACGTGGTGGTAGGCCCTTCCCAGAGGTTTGTTGACTATGTTAAAGATAGTTACACTCTTTAGTTTCAGTAAGAAAGTGGGGAACAGGCAGCACCTAGTGGGAAGGGAGGCCACTCTCCCCTCTCTGCCTGTGGTCTTATCTGCTCCAGAGGCTGCCCAGAAGCCCAGGTTACCTCACACGTCAGTGACGGCGTTTGGCTTTAGAGGATAAATTTTAGCATTTGATTCCACCCAGTGTTCATCTTACTGCCTCTGCCCCTAGCTCAGCCACCATCATCTCTTGCCTGCCTCGTCCTCTCCACACTAAAGCCACAGCAAACTTTCTAACACGAGATTATGACTGTCCCACACTCCCTTAGGTCTCCCGAACATGGCACCTGCTGATGCCTCTGCTTAGGGTGTTCTTTCCCTGTCTATTCACCTTCCCTCTCCCTCCCCTCCCTGGTTCTCCTGCTCAACTAAGAAGCTCGATAAGAACAGAGATAGGCTATTGTGTCTCCCGTGCCTCAGCCAATCCCTGACAAGTACAGTATGCTTGCTCAGTAAATATTTGTCTGATAATAAAGGGTTGTTTTACAAATAAATGGAAACATTAGGAAACAAGAATTTTCTTCTCTGCCAAATTCAGAGAGCTATTTTTTTTAATGTAGAGTTTAGCAAATAATAGTTTGATGCTCTCATTTTTATAAGTGTCCTGTGGAAGAAAGTTAAAGTCAACATAGATCTCCCTTCCTGTCCTTGTGCTGGCTGTCTCTGTGGCCCTTTGAGGTGAACTCTCTCTCGTCTCGGGATATGTGACCGCGAGGCTGACACCTTCACCCCGCTGGCTGCTGTTGGTTCCAGAGGAGATGGATGGTTCTCAGGAGAAAGGGGTGGTGGCATTTACACTACTGGCTTTGTCCCTGCCAGGCCACTGACACAATCTCCTTTTACCTTACCCTTTTGCAGTGCATTTTAATCACCTGGGGTACACACTGGCACTTGGTAAATATGGGCAGTCGGTCCTGAATTGGGTGTGAGTGTGTGTGTGCGCACACAACATGCAAGGGGGGTAGTTCAGAATACCTGTCTTTGCATTCAGTAAGAAACAGGGAAAAGGAGTATTTTTGTCTAAAATGTAAATTAATGTAACAAGCCCCTTTATATGACATACATTTTAGGAAATCTGTCATTGAAGGCAGTAATTTAAATGGAAAACATCGTGAAATAATCATTAAGGAGGACATCTCTCAGCCACGAGGAATCGCTGTTCATCCGATGGCCAAGTAGGTATTTGTGAAATTCAGGCGCCTTTCTGCTGTGGCCACATTTGAAATGTTAATGTTCAAAATCTGTACTAAGATCTCAGGTGACTAGTGGAATCAGAAATGAAGAAAATCCACTAGATTTGTCCACATTTTCAGAAATGATGTGGCTACCATAATATCTTCATTTTTAAATGTCTTTTCATTTTCTATTTTTATATGAAAATGTTATTGTTTAAATGCCCTTTCATTTTAATCAAATTCAATTTCTTTCTGAAAAGAAATAAACTGTAATTCATTAATCAATTAAACATAAGCCCAATAAACTGGTTTCCTTAAAAAGCTACATTATTGCTTTCCTGAGCAGAAGATAACTTTTATATTGTAAGACTTATTAATTCTATTTAGAAAAATTATGAGTTCAAAAGATAGGTCAGTTTTAGATTTAGACAGGAGGAAATAAAAATCATAAAAGATTGGAAGATTCTATGTTCTAATATGAATTAATGACAAATGTTGGCTTAGGTTCAGAGAATTAAGGAGAATCGCCAATTTCTTCCTACATTTTAAAAAACAAGGATAAAAACTAACTCTATTTTATTTATGGTCGTCTACAAGAAATAATATATTGGTAATGACATGGAGCCAGCCCATTACTAAAAAAGTGAGAATAAAACAATCCCTAAGCAGAGCAGAGAAAAGATACCGACCTCAAAAAATGTTTCTCAGCAAGTTATAGAATGTGATATGCAGAACTTAAAATTAACCAAGTTAACTGAGTACATTGTATGAAACTCGATGATAGATAACTGCTTTTCCCTCTATGTTGTAATTTTGCATATACAGTGAGTTTTACATATGAATAGCAGAGAGACAAGCTAGCAAAATTTCATTGCCTTTTGCAGCATTTAACACTAATTTAAGAATATTCATTTGAACACACTTTCAATTAGTAATATTCCGCAATTTTTTAAATTAAGAATTCCTTTTTTCATCTAATGAGCTGAACCTTAATTCCTCATTTCCTGTCCAAGATGGTCTACCTAGAAAAGATAAGTTTTTGCTTTTGAAAAATTATTTGTTCAACATAAAGTGCTATACTTCTTTCTTCTATATTGCTTAGTTTATCCTAAAGTGATTTACATCGATGTTCCCAGTGATGAAAGAATTAGAGAACTGTTGTGCAAATTTTATTTGCTGTATGCTTTCTTGATTAAAGGAAATTATTCTGGACTGATATGGGGATTAATCCACGAATTGAAAGTTCTTCCCTTGAAGGCCTTGGCCGACGGGTTATTGCTGGCTCTGAGCTGGTCTGGCCCAGTGGAATAACGATTGATTTCTTAACTGACAAGTTGTATTGGTGCGATGCCAAGCAGTCTGTGATTGAAATGGCCAATCTGGATGGTTCAAAACGCCAAAGACTTGCCCAGAACGATGTAGGTGAGGCTTTTGGATGGGTGATTTCTTTATCTTGACTGAGAGTTGATAAATGTTAAATATAAAATGTGCTTATACACACATGCACACGTGCATGCACACACACACACCCCCCCCTTAACCATATGGTGAGAAAGGAATAGGTACAAACAGACGAGTAAACGTCTCCAGAGATTTAGGAGCTCTGAGGAGAACCTGTGTATTGGGTAAAAAATAATGATGTATAATCATTTCTCTTGGCCAAGATTTCCAAAAATCAGAATGAAAATATTAAAACTTTAAAAAGTTCTTTAAGAATGAGAACTTGGTTCAGCTGTTAGCATTAGAAAATGTCATTTTGACAAGAGTGAGCATATCACCTTCAGAGATTCATATCTATTGATACCATGTGCAAATATTAATATAGTTTTCCTCCTTATGTATTTTCAGATTTTAGATGGGTTTTTATGTCTGTATTTTCTTAAATACCTTTAAAACACTGTGGTTATGATAACTGTTAAAAAAATACAAATGGCTCTGAAATTCATGGAGAGGGTCATTTTGATGCAGGAAGTCTGCAAAGACATTTGAACTGGGCCATGTGGTAAATAAATGGTGATAAAACATTATCCTTTGAAATAAGGCTGCAAAAATTGGTATTTGTATTTTAGTATTGCCAAGATATGTTGATGAACTTAATTCTAAATGTACTAGAGAGCCATCGCATGTATATAAGATTGGTATTTCAGGATAACCACTTAGGTTATCAACTGTATGAGGGTCGGGTTGGAAATTTGAAGAGAAGGAAATTAGTTAGGAAACTACAAAGGTAGTCCAGAGAACAGCTAATGAAGGCCTGAGCTAGAATATTGCCATTTAACAGTAAAACAGAGGACTAGTTTTTAAAAATCACTGTGAATAAAAAAAAATTTAGAGCATTTACTAACTGATTGGATATAGAAATGAGCACCAAGGAAATGTTAAAGATGCTTCAGAGGTTTATAAACTGTTTGGTTGGGAAGATGAAACACACGGTTTCTATTTTGAGGAAGAAGCTAACAAATTAATAATCTGTATAAGATATTTATTTTGCCCATTCTCTGATTGTAGAGATAATGAATTTCTAGATTTGTATTATATATTAAGTAGATCAAGATAAGCATAACTGAAAATTCTACATACTTCTAAGTTTTTTAAAATATTAAAGAGATACTTCACAATAAGCCATAATCTTGTGTACAATTCTAGACTTCATTCATCCATGCACATAACAGATATTTATTGAATCATTGTACAAAGAAGATATACAGTGGAGAAGCACACAAATATTTTTCTGTGAAGTCATGGGTCTATTTGAAAATTTCATCTTCTAGTAAATGTGAAATTATAGCTTTGATATATGAGGGTACTAAGGGATTTGAAAATTTCTAACCTGAATGTAAAGACATAATATCCTAAACCAAAAATCATAGCAGATATTTTTTTAAAATAATTTGTATTATTACTCAAATCTGTAACTAATACAACTTTCTATTAAAGGCCATAATCAAATAATTGAGAATTTTTAAAAAATGTCTAAATAACTATTCCCATCACTATAGTGCCATCTATAGGTATTTAAGTGGTGGCTTCTCAACTGCCAGTTTAGGATTCTTAATGTAAAGATTGAAGGAATTTATTCTTCATTTTAAATGCAATTGTGGCTCTTCCATAACCAAAAAATAAGAAGTATTATGCCTAGTGTGCGGTATTTATTGAAAAACTGTAGCTCATTCTGCCACATACTACAACATGGATGAACCCAGAAGACATTATGCTAAGTGAAATAAGCCAGTCACAAAAGATAAATATTGTATGATTCCACTCATTGAGGTATCTAGAATAGTCAAATTGATAGAAACAGAAGGTAGAATGGTCTTTGTTAGGGACTAGGGAGAGAGAAAAATGAGAAGCTGTTTTTTCATAAGATAGAGTTTTACTTTTACAAGATAAGTGTCTGGAATTCGGTTGCCCAACAATGTGAATGTACTTAACACTACTAAACTATACATGGACTAAGAAGTTAAATATTGTGTCATTTTTTTAATCCAAATAAAAAAAACCAACAGCTATATGAAAGAATTCCCTTGCTGCATTTATGGTTTTAATTTAGGACAGTGGGCTGGAGACTGAAATAAATCTTAACGGCCCTGGTCAGTAATGGTGGGTGGAGACTCACTGTCACAAGGAGAAGGCACTTGCATTTGTTGCCAGAAGAGGGAGACATTCAATTTAATCCACCAAATCCATTGCTCATTGACAAAGACTGGCCTGGGGAGTGTGACTGAACGTGATCAAAGCTTCCAAACTTGGGCTTCTTTAGCTTTAGTCTTTAATTACTCGTCATGGTCTATTACAACATTTCCATGGTCTATTACAGCATTTACTAAATACTGGAAAATCTTAGAGCAATTTCTGCAACAAGGAGAGGTGGGTTTACTTGAGGTGTGGTCAGGAGGGCCAGCCTGGGGGTTGATAGACATGAAAATGGCAGCAGCAGATACTAAATGACTTTCAAAAAACTTGGCTAAAAATGGAAGGAAAGAGACAAATAGAAGCAAGGGGGTGGGGTCAAGGGGATGAGGAAATTAAGATGGAAGAGACCTGAAGATATTTATTCATTAGTTACAGGGAAGAAGCTATAGGATGAAAATAATGAAGATGTAAACAGAAGGGTTAATTGACTGAACAATGGCCTAGAGAAGGCAGGACAGAGGACACCAGGAGCACTGGTCCACGGATTAATATTAGATAAGAGGCAAGATAGGAGAAGAGGTGGGCTTCCAATGCAAGGAAATGTGTTGATGGAGCTAGGAATTTGAAGGGACTGTTATTCAGTCACCTTAAATTTTTAAATATCCTTACAGCAACCTGTGAATTAGTGTGCTACTTATTCCTGCCATTCAAAAGACAAGAAACTGAAGGCAAAGAGGGGTAAGATTATTTGCTCAAGTTTAGTCTATAAATAGTAACAGAATTACTGAACATAGACGTTCCTGCCTGGCCTCGTTTATCTTGGTGCTATTACGGGGTGGGGCAAAAGTAGATATACAGTTCATAAGGAAAATAATACAATAATTAATAAACAATAATACAAGAATACACTCTGTAATTTGCGTGCTCACAGCTATAAATCTACTTTTGCCCAACCCTGTATGTCAATGAGGCCATGTTCTCCAGTTCTCCAAATGGTGGGTGACAATGGGCTTCGCTAGGACTTCATACCACCAGGCTTCCATTCTAAGATGAGGTTGCCCCAACAGGTGGTGGATCGTACCTTGCTTAGCAGTTATATCAAAGACATTTTTAAGTGTAGGGATTGCATGTATGTTTCAAGCCTTGTCCTTTTAAAAATATTCATGGCACAGACAAGATATATGTAATGGATTGCAACTGCTTCCAGGTCACCCATTTGCTGTGGCTGTGTTTGAGGATCACGTGTGGTTCTCTGACTGGACTGTGCCATCGGTAATAAGGGTGAACAAGAGGACTGGCAAAAATAGGGTACGTCTCCGAGGCAGCATGCTGAAGCCCTCATCACTGGTTGTAGTTCATCCATTGGCAAAACCAGGTACACTGGACATGTTCCAGTCTTTCTTTGACTGGAATCTACAACAATTTTAATTGTTTGATAACAAGGGAGGAAGGGGGATATTGCAGTTCTCACTAATCTAGGTAGATGTTAAGATTTCCTGAGATTTGTATTTTATTTAAATTAAAACTGTCTGGTACTGAATTTGGGATTTAGCCTTCCAATCTCATTTTTTCTTCCCCTGGACAGCTGTTACTCATGTGGTCCTTTTAAAAGACTCTAGAGTTAAAAGAAATAAGAGTAGGGGAGGGGGAGGGACAATTTAGACACCTGCAGTGGAAGCTTCTATCTGCCTTTCTTCACTCCCTGAGAGTTCCAGGGAGTGAGCAAATAGAAGAGGCATCTAGTAACCTACAGTAACTCTTCTTTCCTTGTTGTCCTTTGTCAGTTTGACTAGTTCATGAGTTAGGCAATAGGAATCTCATTTGCCTAAAGAGCTCCTTAGACAAATGTACTGATTATAGTTAAGTAACTCATAGGGTAATAACATTCTGAGCTAATCTTAGTGGCTCCTTATAGGAATTCTTCTGAGATAGCTCCTGATATGGGCTCCACTTAGATACATCGAGTTTCTTTCCCCAAAAGCTGTATACTGTGATTTGTATCAAGGGCACCCTTTGGATCTCCAAGCCCATCTGTGAATACATCTCTTTTCCTCTACTAGGAGCAAATCCCTGCTTATATAAAAATGGAGGCTGTGAACACATTTGCAAAGTGAAGTTTGGAACTGCTCAGTGTTCATGTCGTGAAGGTTTTGTGGAAGCCTCAGATGGGAAAATGTGTCTGGCTCTAAATGTCCATCAGATATCGACAGGTAATATAAATTATGTGGCTATATTATCTTACTTTGGCTCAGGAATAGTTCTATTCTACATTGAACCTTATGTGTTTGCTGATCTTTAATATTTTTTATAATTAAAAGCTCCTCTGATTTTAAGGATACAAAATGTTCTTTTCTTCTTATGAGTATGGGCTTTGTTTTTTAAAAAATTTTACCAAAATTTTCTAATTGTATTTTTTTCCATTACCATTTATCCTGTTATGCCTCCCTTTCCTTGTAATCACCTCATTGTTGTCCATGTCCATGAGTCTTTTTTTCCTTTTTGCTCAATCCCTCTACCCCCTAATTTCCCCACATAGCTGTCATCCTGCTCTCCATCTATGAGTCTGTCTCTGTTTTGCTTGCTAGTTCACTTTGTCCATCAGATTCCACAATCAGTAAAATCATATGGTATTTGTCTCTCTCTGACTGGCTTATTTCACTTAGCATAATGGTCTCCAGGTCCATCCATAGTGTTGCAAAGGGTGAAATTTTCTTCTTTTTTTTTTTTACAGTTGAGCAGTATTCCATTGTGTAAATGTCCCATAGTTGTCTTACCCACTCATCTAATGATGGACACTTGGGCTGCTTCCATATCTTGGCAATTGTAAATGACACTGCAGTGAATGTAAGGGTGCTTATGTGCTTATGTTCTTTTGAATTAGTGTTTTGAGTTTCTTCGGATATATTCCCAGAAGCGGGATCACAGGATCAGAAGGCAGATCCATTTTTAATTTTTTGAGGTATCTCCATACTGCTCCCTACAGTGGCTGCCCCAGTCTGCATTCCCACCAACAGTGCAAAAGCTTCCCCTTTCCCCACATCCTCACCAGAACTTGTTTGTTGCTTTATTAATGATAGCCGTTCTGACAGGTGTGAGGTGATATCACATTGTAGTTAAAATTTGCATTTCTCTGATGATTAGTTACTTTGAGCATCTTTTCATATGTCTATTGGCTATCTATCTGTCCTCTTTGGAGAAGTGTCTGTTCAGGTCATGGACTGGAACTGGATATTTTGGGTTTTCAGAACTTTCTATTAATTGTTGCCTTAGGACAACAGTTCTTAATCTTTTTGGTTTCAGGTACCCCTTACACTCTTAAAAATGATTAAGAATCCCAAAGATTCTTTTCCATTTTATTTTTTCCAAATGTATTTTTTCCATTACCATTTACCCTGTTATGCCTCCCTTTCCTTGTAATCACCTCATTGTTGTCCATGTCCATGAGTCTTTTTTTCCTTTTTGCTCAATCCCTCTACCCCCTAATTTCCCCACATAGCTGTCATCCTGCTCTCTATCTATGAGTCTGTCTCTGTTTTGCTTGCTAGTTCACTTTGTCCATCAGATTCGTCATATCAGTAAAATCATATGGTATTTGTCTCTCTCTGACTGGCTGTTTTTCTAAGCTACATCTATCAATATTTATATTAGAAATTAAAACAAAAATTCTAAACATATCTCTATTAAAATTATACAAATATCCCATTACATATGAATATAACATTTTTATAGAAATAAATGACATAATTATATTTTCCAAAACAAAAAATATGTAGTAAGAAGAATGGCATTGGTTTACCTTTATATCTAATGTCTGGCTTAATAGAGGACAACTGGATTCTCACACCTGCTTGTGGGTTAAATCTCTTGCTGTGTTGTTTTGGTTGAAGCCTATTAAGAAAATTTGGCCTCACAGAGACATAGAGTTGGAAAAGGGAGGGAGGAATATTTAATAGCTTTTCAGATGCCTTCTTTTGTATTTTTTATTTGATACTATATCAGAATTATACATTTGGTAGTTTCTTAGAGCTTAGTTGCAATTTGGCATCTGAAACCATATCAATGATCTTTTTTTGTCCTCTGATACATTAAAATCCAATGGTCTATTTTGTACTTTGAGTGGGTTTTGTACCTTGCATCATTTCGTAGCATCATGTTTTGCTCATTTGAAAATGTGGTTGAGTCATGCAGATCTTCTAACTGTCACATTAATATACAAAAATCACATTTATTAATTATCATCAAACTCATATGAAAAGTTTTGAGTATTGAGATTTTGTCAAACTCATGGTAGTTGAGAAAATTTTCTATAATAGAATTCTACTCTTCACTTGAAAGCTCAAATTTTATTATGGCAACAAGTACTGAGTTGTTTTCCTTGAAGTGACAGGCTTACTTCGTTACTTTTTTTCAAAAAAATGCTTGCCAAATCCCCAAGTGTTAATAACATAGTTTATCAGTCATCCCTTCAAGTAAAAATCATATTCAATGAAAATAAAGACTAGTTTTAACTTGCAGCTCAAAGAACATGCAAGTGATTTTCCTTCAGACAACCATCATAATTCAGTATCTTCACAGATAATAGTGTTTTATGTGTATTTTCCACTTTATTATATAGAATGTTAAAGAGCCAAGTATTTCATGGGCAAGATTTTTAAAAATTAATAATTTTTATTTTCTTTTAATCCTTACCTGTAGATAACTATTTAGAAAGAGAAAGAGAGGGAGGAGCATCTATTGGTTGCATTCTAAACTGGGGATCAAACCCACAGCCTGGTTCTGTGCTCTGGCCAGGAATCAAGCCCGAGACCTCTTGGTCTATGGGACAACACTCCACCCAACTGAGCCACCCCAGCCAGGCAAATAATTTTTGCTCTTCATCATGGATCTTCTTAAGTGAAAGAGGAGTGTGTGTGTGTGTGTGTGTGTGTGTGTGTGTGTGTGTAAGAGAGAGAGAGAGATAGTACGTGGCAGTGAAGAACATGACAGCTAGTACAGCGTGGTTTCCATGGCCTTGATTCATGCTAAGGCACTGCAGTTCCACCCATCATTGCTTTTGCCCATCAGTATCAAACCAGACAGTGAAAAAAAGCAAATAACATCTAAGTTATCTGCCTTTTATAAAAATAGTTTGACCTTATGAACTCCATGCAGTGGGACCCCAAGGATCCATGCACCATACTTAGAGAACACACTTGGTGTTTTAGGGGATCAATTTCTCCCATATATGAGACATTTCATAGGTCCCATGCTTATGTTAACTTACAGCTTGTTTATGCACCTCCACATGTCTACATACAAGTAAAATCAGCCTAAAATAAGTGTTGAAAACAGTCTAAAGGAAGAATGTGTATGGAAAGCATCTCACTAATTCCCTTGTAGTGGCAGTCTGTGATTATAAGCTGATTATATTCATAAGGATTCTGAAGTTTTACTCTTATTATTTTTTACCAGTACCTAAAAATGTCCTGCCTTTCTTCCCTGATGCCCACCCCTTCCCTTAACCATCTAGTTGCATGGAATAAAGCTGGGATGGTGTGGTATAGCCAGTGAGGTTTTCTAAGTCACCAAGACCCTGATAGTTTCCTTGAATGCTGTTACTGTAAGAATGAATCTGAATTCTCACCAAGGAGCCATAAATATAAATTAAATAAAATTTTTCTTGAATCATGAAAGTTAAATTAATTATATTTGTTGACCTTCCATAGGTAGTGAAGCAGATCTAAGTCATCAAGAAGTGTCATCGGACGTCTTATCCAGGAGTCAAGGGTCTGAAGATAACATTACAGAATCTCAACATTTGCTAGTGGCTGAAATCATGGTGTCAGGTATGAATAATGAGTCTCCAGTACAGCTTTGGTTCCAACATTTTCCATCCTACCAATCAGAAATCCTGAATTGTCTCTCTAATTTAATGTTGGCTAAATCGACACAAAGCTAGTGAAGCCAGACTTTGGATTCCAGCTTTGGTCCTTCTCGTCTGAACTGTGGGCCTGAGGGAGATGACTCTGTATTAGACTGGATATGAATTTGACTCACTGAGACTCTTTGGACTTGAACCTCCTTGGAAGAACTCTAACTTGGAAACAAAGGTGAAAAAATGAGACAGAACTGACTTGAGTATATCCTTTCAGACCTAGTATTTTTGGTATTTGGCTCATCTAGCTGTACTTCCATTAGTGTAAAAGTAGATAATAATTGATAAGAAAATATATCTTGTTTGCTTCAGCTGCTCCAGAAAATTCACAAACAGAAAACACTAGATTTTTTTTTTCTATATGGCACATTTATCACCAAAATGCTAAGTTATTTGTTGAGTATGTAACAAATTTAGGGAACCTAATTCTTTTATATTCTATATTCACTCAGGAGGCCAGTGGGTTTCAAATTGGATTTAGCTCAGCCTGAGGTCTTCTGCAAACCCCACTCCTTCTCACTCTAGGTCTCTGACCTTCAATCAGTGCAGCTGAATACGATTCTAACAAAGTATCCATGACTAATTATAAGTTTGGAAACTCCACAGTAGGACATTACATACACTTAACCAAGTGCTCATCCAGCTTTTGTGATCTGCAGACTATTTTGTTAATGTACACATCCCTGAGACCTCATACTCCTCTGTATAAGAACTTATCAGTGTAATTTTTGATAAAAATACAGAGGTGGATATTTTTAGTAATGATAACTTGTGTGCAGCATTAGAGTTCACCAGGTACTTTATCTTCTAATTGATCCTCATCGTAATACATTATCTTTTAAAATTAGGACCAAATAATTAATTCATGTCAAGAAAAGTAGTACTGAAAAACATTGTCATGTTAGGGATATTATTCATTTAATAGCTATTTATTTGCCAAACACTATGCTGAGTGCTGTGGATGCCATGGTGAGATAAATATAGCCCCAGTCTCCAAGGCCACAGTCTGATGTGGAGACAAACAATATGATGAAATAAAACAATATAAATATTCACATTACAGAGAAACTTTCAGTCACTAGGGATCCTTAGAAATTAATAAAGCACATTTTGAAAAACTAATGTTTGGGAGACACAAAGCCCAAGTTGAATGACAGTAAATTAGGCAAATGGGTGAGATGGGGGAGTAATGAAATGGCCAAAGAGTTGGAATATATCTATCTGTCTATATCTCTATCTCTATATCTCTGTATCTATCTATATCTATCTATCTATATCTCTATCTCTATATCTCTGTATCTATCTATATCTACCTATCTATATCTATATAGATATAGATAGATAGATCATAAGCTGTGTTTGGCTTTATACCTGGAGACTATACTATGCCTTATGAGGAGTAGATGGAATTGATTGTCTTGGTAAAAACTACCTCATCTTTTCATACCTGGATTATGTTCTACTTGTATTCGGTTTTAAAGTTGTAGTTCTACCTGTGTTAGGGTAAGGGGTCTTATTTATGAGTGAGATCTCATTCCAACAAAGTCTCTATGCTAAAAAGAATTTGAAAACTCTATACTGGGTTTTAGGTCAATATATTCGTATTCCCCAAAGACACACAGACTGATACGTAACGAGTAAATCTGTGTACAATATGACAAAGAGATTCAATCATAAAAAGTTTCAGAGGGCTGTAGGGGCAGCAACAAGGAAACAGTGGAGACTGCCTCTGCTTCTGCCTGGGGCAGACTTCCAGTCAAGATGGAGGCATAGCTAGACATGCTTCACCTCCTCACACAGCCACAGGAAGAGTTGCAGTGAAATGTCAAAACAAATAATACCCAGAACTGTCAGAAAATCAAACTGTATGGAAGTCTGACAACCAAAGATTTAGAGAAGCTACCTTTATCCAGATGAGTTGGAGGGGTGGAGTTGCAGACAGGTGGAGAGATGAGGAGATGAAGCATGGCACAGAGAGGCAGCAATGGCAGTGGAATGGACGGTCCTGCATTCATGTGTTGTGGATAAAAATTAAGAGGGATACCTTGGGAGCAAGCAGTCCCCACCCCAGGCCAGACAGTACAGCACAGGGTTCCAGCACCAGGAAGATAAATCCCAATAACTTCTGGTTATAGAAACCATGCGAGTTAGGGCGGCAGAATGAACTGTCAGATTTTCAGGAGAGTCTGTTTAAAGGGCCCACGTGGACTTAGAACGTAGGCACATCTACCCACTCTGGGATTCACCACCAGGGCAACAGCTGGAAGAGCTCCAGTCACATATAGGAAGTAGGTGAAGTGACTGGAAATGGGGCACATACCAGGCAAACCTGCAGAAGCAAGGCAGAAGCACTATCCCTGCTCAGAACCCTCCCTGCACACAGAGCAACAAAACAGTGAAGCGGGTTACCCTGCCCTAACAAATACCTAAGGCTCCACCCCATATAACTTAGCAAGTGCGCTAAGACTTGCTAAGGGAATCAAAGCAGCTCTATCTAATACACAGAAACAAACACAGGGAGGCAGCCAAATTGAGGAGACAAAGAAATATGGCCCAAATGAAAGAACAGAAAAAAAAAACCCAAAATGGAAATAGCCAACCTATCATATGCAGAGTTCAAAACACCGATGATCAGGATGCTTGAAGGACTCATTGAGTATGGCAACATCATAAAGGAAGAAATGAAGATTACACTAAATGAAATAAAGAAAATTCCACAGGGAACCAACAGTGATGGGAAGGAAGCCAGAATTCAAACCAACGACTTAGAACATAAGGAAGAAATAAGCATTCAACCAGAACAGAAAAAAGAAACAAGAATTTTTAAAAAAAGAGGATAGTATAAGAAACCTCTGAAACATCTCCAAACGTGCCAACATACAAATCAGAGGGATGCCAGAAGGAGAAGAGGAAGAGTAAGAAATTGAAAACTCATTTGAAAAAAATAATGAAAGGTAACTTCTCTAATTTGGTGAAGAAATAGACATACAAGTCCAAGAAGTGCAGAGAGTCCCAAACAAGATGGACCCAAAGAGGTCCACACTAAAACACATCATAATTAAAATGCCAAAGCTTAAAAATAAAAGATAATCTCAAAAGCAGCAAGAGAAAAGGAGACAGTTACCTACAAAGGAGGTCCCATAAGACTATCAGCTGATTTCTCAAAAGAAACTTTGCAGGCAAGAAGGGACTGGCAAGAAGTATTCAAAGTCATAAAAAGCAAGGACCTAAACCTAGATTACTCTATCCAACAAAGCTGTCATTTAGAATAGAAGGGCAGATAAAGTGTTTCCCAGACAAGGTGAAGCTAAAGGAGATCATCATCACCAGCCATTATTACATGAAATGTTAAAGGGACTTATTTAAGAAAATGAAGATCAAAACTATGAACATTAAAATGACAACAAATTCACAACTATCAACAACTGAATCTAAAAAAAAAAACCCCAAAAAACTAAGCAAACAACCAGAACAGGAACAGAATCATAGATATGGAGATCATTTTGAGAGTTATCAGTTGGGAGGGGGAAGGAGGATAAGAGGGGGAAAGGTGCATGGATTAAGAAGCATAATTGGTAGATACAAAATTGACAGGGGGATGTTGAAAATAATATAGGAAAAGGAGAAGCCAAAAAACTTACATGCATGACCCCTGGACATGAACTAAGTGGGGAGAATGCTGGAGGGAAGAGTGGTACTGGGTGGAGGGGAGCAAAGGGGGAAAATTTGGGACAATTATAATAACATAATCAATAAAATATAGTTTTAAAAAGTTTCATTGTCAAATTTACTAATATCTTGAATTATTCTAAATTCATGAATAAAATTTAAAATCCTAATGTAGCCTATTGGGCCCTAGATGAATTAGCCCTTATACACCTCACCAACCTAAATGTGTGCCTTTCTGTGGCCTGTTTCAGTTACTGTGACATTACCTATAGCATGAAGATGCTGTGTTCTTGGCCCATAGTGCTCTCCTTAACCCCTCCGAATCTTGAAAATCCTTCAGATTTCAGCTTTATATGCTCTTACTCAGAAAGCCTTTTCTAGTCTTCTGTCCATGTGAGGTGAGAGCTACTTCAGTGCTCTTTGAAGTACAATAGGTATTGTTTCATGGATAGTGCTTATCATACCTGTTCTTCAACACAAGAAAGCAAAGCCCTTGTCTGTATTCTTCACCACTGTACTTTTTTGGCCCTCATTAGGGCCTGGCATGTATTAGACACTTTTGAATGAAATTATTAATTTTATGAACAGGCTGCTGAATATTTGTTAGTGTGATAGGCTCATTCTGATTCAGCATTCTTATTCCTTATCATCTTTATTTAAATAGGCATAATATTTTATAATTCTCAAAGGGTTTTTCAAAACATTTCTTTTTTCTTCAAGTTTTTTCAACAATCGTGTGAAGTAGACTGGGCAGAAATTGTCACCCATATTTTAGAGGAGGGTGGAGCCCAGGCATTCCTTCCAGAACTAGTTTGTGGCTGAAAAAACTTTGGCTATAGCCCATCAACTAGAGTCCAACCACTGCATATCCCTTGCTTTTTATTATGCGAAGCAGCCTTAGTGTTTGCAATTTACCAAATAAATCCTGAATCATATTTTAATTTAAGATAATTGTGCAAGTGATTTAAAATGTCTTGAATAACTGGATACTGTCCACCACACACTCTGAACAGCCTTGCGACTTGGAAGCTAGTCCTCCAGATAAATGCCAAATCAAATGGGTAATTGATTTAGTCTGAAGTTATCCATCTTTAAGAGTCACGAGTGACACATTACTGAGGAAGCCTGAAAGGCATGTTTTCCCACAAGAGAAGTCGTACTCAAATAGCTAAGCAAATCAAACATTATTACCCAATGTCTGTATTCACATGGCATCAAATCCTACTTTGATCTTTTAACTTTCTTTAAATTTATGGGCAAGTGTGACCTCTTCTATACTCAGATGAGCAAACTTACCAGTGAGTAGACAGATGACAGTTTATATCCTCCTGTGGTATGTCAAATCCCCCCAACTCCAAAAGGGAGGAGGCATTTGGAGAATGATTATATACACAAGTAGTTAAAGGAGAAAAAACTTGCTCATATTTATGGCTCAACATGCAACTCTGTCCCCTGGGGCATTTGCATTTCAATGGAGTATGAAATGAATTGATCCATTTACAGCATTTACTTTATATGGTTCATGACTTTGTAAAAGTGCCTTGAGGTTTGCAAGTCACTGCATAAATCTTGATAATAAACATACATTGTGACATACATATTCTACTATATATAAAACATAATTTTAGTAAATTGACAATAAATCTTTCTGATTGAATCTCTTTGCCATGTTAGTACACAAAGCTACTTGCTATACATTACTCCATGTGTCTTTGAGGGATAAGGACATATTGACCCCTTTTGTATCTCATAATGGTTGGGGATTCTCAAATAAGCAATAAAACTTTTGAAATTTGAATCCATTTACTCCTAGCAATTTTATAAATCAAATTTTAAATGCTTTTAAACATGGTAAATTAAGTTCACACGGGGCTGTTTGAACACCAAACAGTTAAGACTAAAGATTTGTTGAGAGCACATAAATGGAAACATACGGCTTCCAGATCCTTCCATATGGACACAGCTTCCAGGTCAGCAGTGTTTCTATTTGAAGGTTAACTTGTCTCAGAACTTGGAAAAGGACGTGCTGGAATGTCCTGTAGAACCCAAAGCATTACAGCCCCTTTTTTTCCCTCTGAGGTCTGGAAATAATCTGACGGGGTTCTTGCTGTTCGCAGATGAAGATGACTGCGGCCCTGTGGGGTGCGGTGCGCGCTCTCAATGCGTTTCGGACGGAGAGGTTGCCATGTGTCAGTGTCTGAGAGGATTTGCTGGGGATGGAAAAGTGTGTTCTGGTAAGAGCAGAGGCCGATGCTCGTAGTTGTGGAAAACGGTGAACCAGAAACATTTAGATCATATGGGTTCAAAATCTCCAAAAGGACTTAAGTAATCAGCAGGATTGAATAAATTGCTTGGTACCGGCTAAAAAGATAATGGATAGCATGCATAGAAAATATGAAACATATAATATGTTGTTACGTTACATTGAGTTTATGTTACAGTTTCAAGATACATGCAGCTGACATTAAAAAGAAGAATTTATAATTACTTTCAGAAGCATAAATTTGAGTTCAGGTCAAATTTATTAATTCAATACCTCCAATAACAACACAACCTTCCCCGCCCCCCAAAAGCTAGGTTAGAAGTTTTAGTTCAATAAATAGATTGAGATGGATACGCTTCTATTTTATATTGATAGCCTCAAAGTAAGTTAGTGATTACTGTAAAAATCTCAGTACTTATGGTCTGAAACTATGCACAAAGTGATTTATTTATACATACTTAGTTAATCAAATTTGAGATATCTGTAAAAATATCTCACATATTTTTATGTGATTAAGACATGAACTTCATGGATTTGCATTGCATTTGCAAACAGTCTCTGTAAACAATTGAATGATTGTGTATAAGATTATACTTACTTTTTCCTAGTATGCTCATTTACACCAGGATTGCCTATATATTTCATTAGTTCCTCATTTTCCCACAGATATAGATGAATGTGAGGTGGGTATCACAGCTTGCCCGCACCCCTCCTCCAAGTGCATCAATACTGAAGGTGGCTACGTGTGCCGGTGCTCAGAAGGCTACCAAGGAAACGGGACTCATTGTTTTGGTAAGAGTATGGGTGCCGAGGTGGGTGGGTGGAGGCAGGAACCTCCACGAATCCTCTTGAGTGTGGTGAGCCAAGAAAAAACAGGATATAACTGGGGTGACATGCATGTTAAGACTAAAAGAGGAGCTGTGTGACCTGCTCATACTGACATATTTCAGTTGCTGGTACATAGTCAGGTTTGCTCTTGTGTTGTTCTTACACTGGTCAGCAACAACACCCTCTAGAGCTAATTTACCCCCCTGCCTTTCTAGTTCTTTTCTCTGGGGTTGAGTAGCACCAGTGCCTCCTCAACTCTGAGCTATCATGAGGGGAATTGAACATTTTCTTTGTCACCAAACTTGGCAATTGAACGGTGGTGACTGCAGAGCTGATACAGGCTTTACTCTGTGTGTGTGTGTGTGTGTGTGTGTGTGTGTGTGTGTGTGTGTGTGTGTGTGTATGCGTGCGCGCAGGCGCTAAGGAAAGGAGGTGTGGCTCTGTGAAAGGACTCTGCCAGCAGTTCTTGATAAGTTCAATAGATGAAAGACACAAACTCCTGACATTTGGATACAACTGGAGAATGATTAAGACCTCTTTCATAACCACCATCCTCTGCCAAGGCCTGGGTGTGGCTCGTGGGACAGGAGTTCACTTACTGAATGTCTTGTCCCAGTCCAGGTGTCAATAGCGTAGCATCGCCTTGCAAGTGAAGACCTGCCCAGAGCCATCGTAGCCCAGTGAAGCGGTTATCTGAAGTTTTACAGGGCTTTAAATCGTCTCTTTGAGTGTTTTCTTTTCTTTCTGAAAACAAAAATCTTTCACAGTGAAGGGCAGATACCCTGATAAGAAGCTATGCTACTGCTTTCTCCTACATGTTGAGGTTAAAGATGAAATTTCAGTCAATTTTCTGGATCTGGTTGGTTGAAGTCAGACCTTTATGAGATTAGTTTTGTGGCGTCCATAGACATCTGTAAATGCTATTTTAAGCACATATTTGGCTGTTAGTCAGGAAAACGTCACTGCTCTAATTAAGCAGGCTTATAGATAATTTAGACAAATAGGCTTTATATTTAATTTACTTAGAAGAGAAAGGAAGGCATACTTTCTTGGGCTCTGGATTTTCACTCTATTACTAACCACCTCCTTTTAGTATCACACATGCCATGGGGTGTCATGGCCCAACCTGCCCCATAGCAGCAGGGAGCTTGTTCCTGTGCTCTCCCCCTCCCTCTCCTTTTCCCGTTCTCTCCTTCCTTTCCTCTCCATATATGTGTATAGATGATAAATAGAGAGATTTAGATACAATGCTATATAAAAGTGTTGTTGTTATTTTATTGTAAAAAGTAGTTGTGTTTCAGCCTAGAGTATATCTTTGTTTTTGCTTCTTGCAAAAGTTCTTTCTCACTCTCAAGGTGATTGTTCACAGAGATAATAACAGGAAGTCAGTTTTTTTTTTAAAAAAAGCCTCAGTTTGAGCCATTCAGGAAAGCAATGCAATGGGATAGAGATTTGATTGGCTGCTATTATTGCAAAGGCACAATATTAGGAACTGTGAGGAATATCAAGATGATGAAGTCAGTCCTTACCTGCAAGAAGAATGCGATCTAAAAGAAATACATATAGCTGTGCTCAATGCTGAAGAAAGCTGCATCACAAGAGAAGTAAATACTACAGTGGAAGTTCAGAACTGGAAGAAATATCTGTTTGAGGTTTTGGGAAAGACTTCATGGAGAAAGTATTATTTTGGATGGACCTGGTGTATGAGTAAATTTTATAAGACAGGAATGTGAAAGGATAGAATATAGCTTAACTGAACACTAAGTGTAGGTCGTAGATGAGGGAAAGCAGAAGCTGAGGCTGTTAAGGTGATGTCCTTGTTCTGCACAGACTGGGCGGCCTAAACAAGACATTTATTTTCTCACAGTTCTGGAGGCTAGGTGTTGCAGATCGAGGTGCTGAGTTTTCAGTTCTGGGTGAGGACTGTCTTTGGCTTACAAATTGCTGCCTTCTTGTTATGCACAAAGTGATTTATTTATACATACTTAGTTAATCAAATTTGAGATATCTGTAAAAATATCTCACATATTTTTATGTGATTAAGACATGAACTTCATGGATTTGCATTGCATTTGCAAACAGTCTCTGTAAACAATTGAATGATTGTGTATAAGATTATACTTACTTTTTCCTAGTATGCTCATTTACACCAGGATTGCCTATATATTTCATTAGTTCCTCATTTTCCCACAGATATAGATGAATGTGAGGTGGGTATCACAGCTTGCCCGCAAGATTGCCTCTTCTTTGTGGCTCATGAAGAGAAGTAGGGGGAGAGAATGGGGGAGGGGAGGGGAGGGTTGGGAGGGGAAGGGAGGGGTGGAGAAAGGCAGGGTGAGAATCTGACGTTTCTTCTTATAATGACACCAGTCCTATTGGATCAGGATCCCATTCTTATGACCTCATTTAATCTGAATTACTTCCTTACGGGCCCTTTTTCCAAATATAGTCACATTGGGGGGTCAGGGATTCAACATATGAATTTGGTGGGATATAATTCAGTCTCTATAACAAGTGGGTTGGGCTACACTTGTGGAAAACTAGAATCTGAGGGTTAGTCATTGGGGTTTTACTTCTCTAGACCAGCATTGTCAATAAGAAGGTAATGTCAGTCTTCACATATGTAATTTAAAATTTTCTAGTAGCCACATTAGAAAAAGTAAAAAGAAACAGGTGAAATTAACCTTAAATATATTTTATTTATTCCAATATATCCAAAAAAATGTACATTGTAAAGTATAACCAATAAAAATTATTAACGTAAGTTTACATGCGTTCTTATTTTGGTACTAAGTCTTCACAGTCTGGCATGTGTACTACACTTACAGCACAGCACGGACTAGCTGTGGTTCAGGTGCTCGGTGCTCACACGTGGCCATGGCCGCCGTACTGGGCAGCACAGCTCTAGGCAGCAGAGAGCCTTGGCGGCATTTGACTCAAGTGGCACCGTTGATGAGAGGTGTCGTTCAGGAAGATTAATCTGGCACTGGTGTTCAGGAGTGGAGCGGAGGAGAGTGGGATGCAGGGAATGAAGAAAGGCTCTTCTTACAGTAACGTGAGGTCGAAGAGAGGAGGGACCTAAATGTTAGGGTGGTGGCAACTGAGAAAGAAAAAGGTGGCTAGTTTGGAAAGAAAGTGATGACTTAGTTTATATTTATGTTAGGTTTATATTTATGTTAAAAAGACAACAATGTTTTATTTGTTATGATCTGAACTTCTAAATATTTGCCTAGAGATTGCTTACCAATCTCCAGCTTTCCCAGCGAGCTACTAGTGTTGGGAGACCTTTGAAGCAGTAGGAAAACCCCCGGGCTTATGTCAGGACTTCGCATGAATGGGAGTGCAGCCGAACGACACAGTTCCTCTCTCTCACCAACATTCATGACAAAGTTTTTGAATCTAGAAATGTGTAGAGTTCTGAAAACAAACAGCATAACAGGAGTCAAAGATACTCCCCTCCTAGATTGTTGGGCTTTCCAAATATATAACCCTCTTTTTCCTCTACTACCCAATTTTCTCTTCCCGACTCCCTTTTTTCTGGCAGACATTGATGAATGCCAACTGGGCACGCACACCTGTGGGAAAAATGCCACCTGTACAAATACAGAGGGAAACTACACCTGCATGTGTGCCAGCAGCCTGTCTGAACCTGGATGGAATTGCCCTGGTAGGTTGGTGGGGGATCTAGATCCAAAGGGAGGAAGTAGATTCTGGAAAATTCTGTACCCAAGTGTATTTGCATTTGAGATTTCAGAAATCATTTGGTTTAATCGGGCTGGTGGGTTTGCTTTCCTGATTAGGTTGATGCTGGGTTTGAGAATGTGAAAAGGTCTGGGGGTTTTTTGTTTTTGTTTTTTTTAATTTAATAGCATCTGAAATAAGTCCATTTTCATTATTCACAATTCAATAAAGGTGGCAACACAGGTGGTTCTCTTTTGCTATGTGGCTAATGTCCTGATCTGTCCTGTCAGTTTCTTGTGCTGTTGGAAAACCACAGGGCTAGACAGGTTGGGGAGGATGTCTGAACTTTTAGCATTTTAAATCACTTTCGAGAATTTTAAAATGTTACTTTAAAAAGTCACTATTTTTTATTATCTGAATGAGAAAAATTAGGACTTTTTCTTTCTTTTAAAAATGTTTATAATGGTCTTCTCCTGCTCACCACCCCGCCCCCAGAACCCTCTCCCTGTAACCGCAGCCCAGCAGGGGGCTGGCTTCCCAGACCCCCAACGCCAGGATCAGGCTCTTTCCCCTGCCGGCTGTGTATCCCCCTCAGCTCTGCAGGCAGAAAGCATCCTAATCAAGGAATGTTCTGTGCGTGCTTGGGTCTTTTCTGTTTCTCAAGTAATTTGCTCTTCTTAAAGGTATTGGAAGACTGCTAATATTTACAGTCAGCTACACATCCTCTTGTTTTTCTTTTACAGTGTAGTGAACCATTCAGTGAAAGGGACTTTACCACGTTAGCATTTCCTATGTATGGTAACACTTCGTTTCTCTCAACATGGCTACTCTTGTCTTTGAGGTTTCCCCTGCAACTTAAATAGTTTTTAGAAGAAATCCTTGTGTGGGAGAAATTTTTGAGGCTCCCAGAACAGTGGGGTAATGGATTGTGTACTAGTGGGCGGTTTAAAAGTCATAAAGAGACACTGTGGTTCAGTGAGATCTTAAAGCTAGTTGTCATTTCATACGGTGTGTGTTTGTGGATGACAGATGTGCTTTTATAATGAGATCAGTGACTCTGCATTCATTCGGTGTCTTAGGATTGACCATTCTCGTATTTGCCTCCAATATGCCTTATGTCAAAAAATACTGAACCTAAAGAAAGAATGGCTCTCTTCGTGAAGAATAACATAAAGTCTGGTTAGGAAAGTGAAACTATGATTGCTTTGATAGTTTTATTATCACTAAAAGACACTAGATCACAAATCGGTCACAGCAACCTGTTCCTGATATTGGTAGAGGTTTCCCCCCTGCTATGCAAAAGTTGAAATGAAGTAAAGTGAAAGAGCAGTTACCACCATTAATTTATATAGAAAAATTTTTGAGCATTCCTAAACCTCCAAAATAACCTATCAATTCATACACTTAATTATGTCCAGTTTTACACTAAGGGTTAACACCCTCATGAGATCTTAAGATATCTTAGAACACGCCTTGCTTACAGGTGCACACAATAAATGGAGATGAAGCACTGATGCTCACAGAGTTCAAAGCTATAGCAGCTGGATGCTAAGATGCTCAGTGTGGTTTCTGGGGAAGGAGCTGCTGGGGCAGCTGCTGAGATGCCGCTGTGTTTCTAAGGGCTCGTGCAAAACAAAGCCTGACGCTATTTTCACTCTTGCCTTTTTTCTATAAAAGCAAAAATCCTCTTTGGATTTCTTTTGGTTAGCAAAATCGTGCAATCATGTAGGTCTTTTGTAATGTGAAGTGGATGGAGTAAAGCGAACTTCCCAAACGTGGGGCGGGGGTTGGGGTGGGGGAGTATCTGTACCTGGAAGACAGTGATAGCTTCCTAAAATAAAAGTACCATGTTTGATTTTTCTAGACTCGACTCCACCCTCTCATCTCAGGGAGGATGGCCACTATTCTGTGAGAAATAGCTACCCAGAATGCCCCGCGTCGCACGCCGGGTACTGCCTCCACGGTGGTGTGTGTATGTACATTGAATCCGTGAACAGCTACGCATGCAAGTAAGTCCAGCTGTCTTTCTGAGGCACAGACATTGCAGCCCATAACTTTCAGCAAATTTGTACAATGTATTTTATGGAAAATTTTCTATAACTAGGTTTTTCCTTAGGGAGAAATATGCACATATAAATTGTGTGTGTGTACGGCACTCTCCCTGCATATCACATCTCACCCCCACCTCTCCCCACGGCTCTACCCCGCAGCTGCCGGTGCTAAATATAAATACAAGGAATTGGTGATTTTACCTTTTACTTAAATAACTTGATGTTACTAATGATGTAGTCTGGTAATTAAACTTCTCATTCGGGTTAAAAACTTAGGTTTGTGAGGGAATTCCTTAAAGCTTTGATTTATTTTCTGCCAAATATGTGGAGAGCATCCATGATATGTGTCTGAATTTACAAATGTGTTGCAGATATTCACACTGGACTTTTCGCCTTCGATTCTCAAAACTCAAATATATACATATTTTTAAAGAATTTCCTAATAGTTGATGTTTACACTTTCTTGTTTAGTGACAAGAACTGCTGGATGCAACCTCTGCTGCTTTGTGCTCCTTTTTTGCCCCCACAATGATTTCACAGTGGGCAGTGCCAAGCTGAAGCCCGGAACCCCGGGGGCCCTGCGGCCAGACTCACCCGGAAAACCTTCCCTTTGGAGCCTTTCATAGACGGGCACTCACAGTGTCTTGTTCTGCATCAATTTTACCTTTTTCTACTTTCACATTTTGAAGGCAATATGAGGGAATTCATAGATACGAAAAAATAAAGAGGCCTCCTAATGCTAGACACCTGACTCACTGATAATTTTCTCTGTGCCCAAGGAAGGAATGATAAAATATTCTGTTTCTCATATATATATATATATGCTTTTATTATTTATCAGCAGAAATGTAGCCTAAGTTATAAGAATTAAGTTATATTCTGTGACAAAGTGTATGGTCTTGTATTATGAATCATGTCAGCCTGACAAAAATGGTGAAAAATGCTCATGGATATTAGCAAAAATGACTCAGTTCTAATAAAAATCTGCTTTCATACTCATATTTGGATGCTGTAATTTTCTCACCTAAGATAAATCTAGTATTCTTGATTTTGATAATAAGAATCAAGTTGTTTTTACTATCCATGATTTCTTATTATCCCAAATAATGAAATTATGAAAACACATGTCCCAGTTTATTAGGTCACCTTTTGTTTTTATAAAAAGACTTTATGATAATATGAGGGGCATTGCAGGGATAGGTGTTGCAATTAGCATGATATTTTCATTTGGACCTGGTAGTGTCAATTAATTAAATGGTTTATAAACTCTAGCACATTACTCTTTCTGTCATTAAATCCTAATGAAAATATCATATTCCTCCGATAATGTTTTAAATATGAGTTGTTAAAAAGTGACTAACTGGAGATAACATTCAAATTTAAAGACCTTTAATCAAAAGCAATATTGAAAATATAACGAGTTCCCATTAATTTGGATCATGACTTTGTTTTTGAAGTCTGTGTTTAATATAACTGTGGTTTAATTAAACATTCAACCCTTCTCTCTTCCTGCCTGAGGACCTCAACTTGTATTTTTTTAATTCCATAATAATGCACCTATGGGGAGCTTCCCGTCCAATTTTCGTTAGAAACACTTCATAGGGAGCATTCCACACAGAGTGCTCCTAATGCTCTGAGCAGGCTTACAAACGGAACTCTTTTTTCTTTGCTTGGAAGACAGAGTCCCCTGGCTGCCCAGGAATGCAGGGATGCGAAAACTGGAGTCTCTATGCTGAGGGGCTACCACAGAGGTTCTTTGAACTGGAGATTCTTAGAAGACTCCAAGCCCCTGAGCTCCAAGAGGTCCTCACTTATTCTGGTTTGGCTTTGAACCAAGCCACACCCTTCCGGGCAGGCCTTCTGCAGACCAAGATGCCCTAGCACTGGCACTATGAAATGTTTCATAAAAATGTGTCCTGTGGTCAAATCATTTTGAAAAACACTGCATACTCTAGCCTTCAATTCTTGATTCATAATATACCATAATGTGTGAAAAAGTCTTGTTGACCTTTATTTAGTTTAGAATTCCTTGAAATTATTTGCCCATAGCAAATGAAACTTATTTGATCAGGGAATCTCTTGTTTGGTTTAACAGAAGAACTCAATAACCCAAAGAACTGGTGGTGTGCAGCCCATGCTTGGGAACTCGTGAGATGCTGCCTGAGTGCTCTGGGCCTTATTAGGCTCACAGAAGCTCTGACAGCGCAGCCTGCTGTGACCGCCATTCCTGGAGACCCTAAAACCTCCGAGAACATTCTAAGTGTGGCCCATTTTACCAACCGTGTAAAAGTGTATGCCAGGCATTGATTGTAAATGTCTATAACCAAGGATAGCTTGAATGAAAACATCATCTAGGAAAGCCGGGAATCACTCGATAGTCCTTTATGCTTCCTACAACCCAAATCCTGCCATCTCTTCCCTGGTCCGTTTTAGAATAGCTTTCAGAAGTATGCGTTGCTTAAAATCCTTTTTGGAAGCAGACCAGCGTAGTAGGAAAAACAGAGGCGTTGAAATCAGAGGACCATTTGAATGGAACCTGCTATTCACTAGCTGAGCAACCTAGCACAAGTTACGTAATCCCATTTGAGCCTCACTGTCCTCACCTATAAAATGGGAGTAAGCCATCAAAAATAGAATGAGTAAAACTGCCCAGCACAGAGTCAAACACACAAGGTGCCTAATAAATGCTAGGTCCTTTCCCCACTGTCTCTGAAAGTGACTCACCACAGCTCCTATGACCAACTCAAGGCAGAACTAGGGCAGAATCTAGATCTTCTCGCACTTCAACTCATGGTTTTTCCCCGCTGCCCCTTCCCACCGTGGGATCTGGTATCAGTTCTCTGTGTATTCATTCCTTCATATCCTTTTGGAAGAATGTGACAGCATGAATAGATGGATAGTTGGTCCAGGGTCAAAGGGAAGAAATTCCTAACAATTGAGCATCACAAAATATTTAATAGGATATTTTTTAAATTTGTGCTCTTACGGAGAATAATAAACTACACTACCCAAGATCCCAATAGTTTCTGGGATCATACATTCCCAGTAGATGGCAGCATTGTTTCATTTACTCATCTGAAGGTTCACAGTGCTTGTTGGTGGCTGTTTATAACTCTGGTAACAATTTTACTAATGAAAATAGCAGGATGTTTGCCAGTGATTGCCTCTTTTCTTCCTCCATTTAGCTGCTCCCCCTTGAAGAAAGCAGGCAAATGCTTGTGTGTTGACACTGAGAGTTTTCCCTTGAGCTTGTGGTGATTGAAAAAGAAAGTTTCTTCCATAGAGTAGGTTCTGCTTTCTTGTTCACATTATTTTATAGCCTGGTCTCAAGTGAAGGACTCTGCTTTCAAATTCTTCCTTCCTTAGAATTTAGATTTCATTGCATTCTGGCTAAACATTTGTTCGAAACCTCTCTTGGCTCTTAGGGCAAAGTTGCTTTGCGTTGGTCTTAAAGTTAGCTCCTCAGGATTTTAGCCTAAGAGTACGATCTTTAGTCAGTGTTCTGCAACGCCTCATTGAGGTGGTGTGCAGACAAAAGGCGAAGTCCATGCAGCATCAACTTGTAAAGCAGAGTGCTTTCAGCTGACTCCGGATGGATTTTCCACAGGCTTCCAAAAAGCTGGGTCTGGAAATGCAGAGACTGAGAGACAGCTGGGTATTGAGTCTGAAAAATAGAAGCATTTTCGTCTAGGGCTTACAGCTGATCTCTGTTTGTGTGCTGTCACAGCTGTGTTGTTGGCTACGTGGGGGAGCGATGTCAGCACCGAGACTTGAAATGGTGGGAGCTGCGCCATGCTGACCACGGGCGGCGGCAGCGGAACATCGCCGTGGTGGCTGTCTGCGTGGTGGCGCTGGTCCTGCTGCTGCTCCTGGTGCTGTGGGGTGCCCACCACTACAGGTGACACTTTCTTTCCATGGGCACTTTCAGCCTCTAACGAGTCCCCTTCCCCAGGGGAACACCTGCCTTCTTGAGAGGTACTTCTGCATCTTTAATATAATTTGAAAAGTGGAATAATGGTAACCGACAACAACAAATGGTGCAGGATCTCCCAGCCCTAAAGCAGCAGTGGTTTTACTTTTCCTTGTCCATTCCAGTCCTTGTTCCCACACCTGTGTAGTTCATGGGGCGGTTTTTAATGATGCAGTTTTGTATTCCACTTTTTCCTTATGCCTGCTTTCCTCCCCTCCACCTCACCCCCGCTGCCTGCATTACTGTAATTTGTTCATAACTTCTTCCATGGAGTTGATTTCCCACAAAGTATTAACTTCTGTTTTAAAAAAAAACAGTATTTCCCTGGCTGGTGTTGCTCAGTAAGTTGAACACCAGCCTGCAAACCAAGAGGTCACTGGTTCGATTCCCAGCCAGGGTACATGCCTGTGTTGCAGGCCAGGTTCCCACTTGGGGGCATGCAGGCAACTGACCGATGTTTTTCTCCCTCTTTTTCTCCCTTCCTTCCTTCTGTCTAAAAAAATAAATGAATAATTTTAAAAAATCAGTATCTTCCCCAACTTGGAAGTTTCTGGTCCTTGGATTGTGTGTTTTTAATAATTTCAAAGTTAAAAACTGTAAAATAATATTTGTACATTTAATTTTTAAAAATTGCCACTAGCCCTGGCTGAGTGGCTCAGTTGGTTGAACCATAGTCCCATATACCAAAAGATTGTGGGTTTGATTCCTGGTCAGGGCATGAACTGGAGGCAACTGATTGATGTTTCTCTCTCACATTGATGTTTCTCTCTCTCTCTCTCTCCCCCCTTCCCTTCCTCTCCCTAAATAAATAATTAAAAATATCTTGTTGTGAGGTTTTAAAAAATTGACACTCCATTAGGGTGAATAAATAAACACCACAGTGCTGATTTTCCATTTTCTTAAAAAAATAGGACAGCACCCTCCACGACCTTCAATATTGAGAAACATTTTATGTCCTACTATAGTTTGTGCTGTACAAAATCAGTGAGTTGTAACACTTTGGGGCAGAAGGGAATTCTATTGAATTATCTAATTCGATCTCATCATTTATAGCCAAAAAACCTCAGACGCACTTAACTTAATAGGCCCTAGTTTTCTGGGGATGTATGGAATCCCCCCACCACCTGCTGATAAAAATCCAACCACACTTACTGGTACCACACAACCACTCAGAGGTCAACTGTGTTGTATTATGGAGAATTCAAAATATCATTCAAGATGTGCTTGTCTGAGATCCTGCTATAGCCTAGCATAGTGGTTAAGAGCACAGGCTCTAGAACAGACTGCACAGGTTCAGTTCCTAGTTCATGTTTAAATAACATCAGGCATATTATCTAACCTTTGTCTTATTAATTTCCTTTGCTATCATGTGGGAACAAGGATAGTGCTTAAGAGTTATTGTGAGATTGAGTTACTGTAAGTAAAAAATTTAGCATAGTCCTGGCATTTAGGACCTGTCTGTTACTGTACTTTTCTATGAACTGCAATCTTCCCCCAACGAATCCCATGTTCCAGACTGTTTTCTATCTTGAGACACAAGATTCTCAGGCACAACTTGAAATTTTAATTCAGTGATCCATCAGTAAGCATTTTGTACTTTGTAGCCTTGTATTCAACCACTATCTTGGATGTCTGTGGAAAGAATATTGAATAATCAGTGCTTCATCCCATTGGACAGAATGCCAAAAGGGAAGTAGATGCTTGGTAAATAATACTATAGAAAAAGTTGGGAGCAAGAACCTTAAGTTTATGTGTGCCATAACTATTAAATATTTTTCTTATTCCATGTACTGTGGCATAGTAAGTACTTTTTATGTTCTGTTGATGTTCTTCCAAGCTCTGGATTGAAAGCCAATAGCAGACCGCTGGATTTTCTTACTTGGAATTCAAAGACCAGCTCAGCTGAAAGATGACTATAGACTCCACACATAGAAGAATATCGTTAGCCTCTGATCCCTGTATATCTAAAATCAAAAGGGATAAAGACCGCTTCTTCCAAAAGAACACTCATCAGCCCTGGCTGGTGTGGTTCACTTGGTTGGAGTGTCATCCCATAGTCCCAAGGGTCGAGGGTTCAATTCCAATCATAGCACGTAGCTAGGTTGCAGATTCAGTCCTCAGTCGGGGCATGTAGGAGAAGGCAATCAATCTGTGTTTTGTTTCTCTCTTTCCCCCTCCCCCTTCTCTGAAGAATGTGCCCTAGGTGAGGATTTAAAAAAAGGAAAAGAAAACTCATCTTTTCTTTCTTGTTTCTTTTTCTTTTCTTTGAATTCTTTTTTGTTTCTTTTTGCTGAAATGCATCGAGAGTTGTGAAGTTTTTTTTGGTTGAGTTCTGGCCGTGAAGTTTTTACCAAATTTGTTTTTTTGATGATCTGTAAGATCAAATATGCGTGTAGCCAGGGAGGCATGTAGTGACTTTCTTTAGAGTTAGAGTCAGTTGTTTCTTACTCTGCATCAGTCCTTGCCTGTCTTATCTAGATTGTTTGACACGATTTGTCTTATATATCCCTCAAAAGATTGTGAAACTAAATAATTTTTAAAGTATTGTAATATTATTACTTCATAAATCTAGATTTCTTGAAACAATAGGAAATATTCTGTCACAAACTGCAACAATGAAACTAAAACAGATTGCAGTAGCCACTTGCTTCAGTTTCCTGGAATTAGTCACGTCGTTTCCTGGAAACATCCCTTACATCGAATTCATAGCTCCTGGGATGGGGTTTCCATAGCAGCTCCCACCTTCCTGTTGCCCTTGCTCAGGTGTCCAGACAGGCCTACAGGACACAGGGATGCCCTCCCACAGGGAGTTAGGCTGCTGCGGACCCAAGGCAGCAGAGCTGTTTGGGAACCTGGAGGCTGGCTGGCGGTCTTCACCACCACATTTCCTTCCTTGCCTTACACACCTGTCCCTCTCCCTCTAGAGGCCACTGCTTTGAGGACAGGGATAGCATCTTAACACTAGATCTCCCTCCCTTTCACCCCTCCCCCCTAGTGTATGACACCATGCATTGTATAAACTTAGTGCTGAACGTTTATCAACCAAATAAATATTTATAAAACTGAATTCAGGTTGGGAAATCAAGCCTATTTCTTGGCTTGGGAACTATGAGGCAATAGGCTCTTGGGCCTTCCACTCATCGTGTTCTGCCTGTAAGGCCTGTGGGCAGAGGGCAGCCAGCCAGGGAAGCACCATGGGTGTTGTTTCGTTATGACCCAGCTCCCGAGGGGCTCTGGTTAGCTGTGTGCCTTGGGTGAGTCCCTGCTGTCTTCCAGCCCCACTGGCTTCACTTGTAAAATGGAGCTAACGTAGTCAGTGTCACACAACTGCTGTGATACTATTTCCATAGACCGCTCTTATCCCCACCAAATTGTTAAATACCTTACGGTAGAGATTTTCCATTGTTGTGGTTGTTTGGTTGGTATATCTCCAGTACTAGGACAGTACTGGACATATCTATTAGTACTCAATAGATGTGTCCATGAGTGAGTAAGCGCATGGCTCCCCACTTCCCCCCCACTCTGCCATGCCCCATCTCACAGAATGTTGGAAAAAATGAAACATTATCTGGAAAGTTCTACAGAAAATAATGCCTTAAATATCCAAAGTTGTGTTTCTATATAGTTTTCTTAATATGTATTCTCTCCCATGCATTTTTAAGTACCTAAATTTCCGTAGCAAACATAGTTATTTCCCTGACCACCACTGAGCCTGCTCCTCTTTTGTTTTGTTTTGGAGTTGTCTCACATTTTGGTTTTATTGCAGGACTCAGAAGCATCTATCAAAAAATCCAGAAAACCCTTATGAAGAGTCGAGTGGAGAAGTGAGCGTTAGCAGGCCTGCAGACAGAGAGGCTGGGATGTCCTCTTGCCCCCAACCTTGGGTAATGTGACCAAAGTACATAAAGCAGGAAATTGGCTTTGTATTAATCCAGTTCATTTTTTCCCTTGTTCCCCTGAGTTCAGAGAGACTGGAAACTGGTTGTTACAGCTTCCAGCAGGTGTTAATGTTAGCTGACACCACAGTAAGTGGGGCAGTCCTGGGTGGGTGCTGGGGGTTGGGAACTCTGCCCTGAATTAAAATATGCGTTTTATTTGAACCTGGCATCCATATGCATTCAGGTTCAAAATAATCCAACAGGCTGCAACAGTGCCACAATTTAATGGCACAAGAAACTTATGGAGTCTTTTTCTTTTCTATCAGGTAGTTTCTTCCTATAACTTAGATTTTGATGTGTATGCAAAAAGTCTTTCCCAATTTTTAGGTGATCCCTTTCGGATGGCTGTCTTAAAAACCCAATGTCGTTCCCCTAATTGTCTTCATATTTCTTTTGTCACAAACATTTAAAATCCCTGAACTTCAGCAGCAAAATAGTTGCCAGATTTGGCAAATCAAAAATACAGGGCACCTAGTTCATACTAATACCAGAAGTTTAGATTTAAGTTCAAATTTAACCTGGTGTCCTGTATTATCTGGCATCCATATGCATTCAGGTTCAAAGCGCTTCAGATCCCCACTTCAGTAACTGATCTTAGGACACTAGAGGGCAGACTTGAGACAGGCTAAACACTTGAAACTTGGAATTTCTGTTTCCTGAAACCTGTCAGAGATAACTTGACTGGCTCACTGTGTGCTATTGGTATTATTTGTAGGATATGCCATGGAAGAGGCTGGAGTATATGGCAGGTCCGTGGGGGATTGAAAACTGTAGGAAAACAGGGAATGGTTATGAAGGAGAGGATATGAAGGGGCAAAGGCACATTTGGGGGTCCTTCCCACATCATTTTGCCCATTTTCCATCCTCTACTTCATGTGCATTCTCAGATACTAGCTTTCCTATAACTATGCTTTTGACTAACAAGTGATCATCTGTCTGGCCTGTTATAGTTATTCAGCATATACTTATTTTATGGTTGGGTTTGAGTCTGGAAATAGAATAAGAAATACAAATTCTAGCCTTACCCTCCCACCAACTGGCTGTCTAATTTCCAGCATGTCACTTAACCCCTGCTTCCTCTTCAAGATACCAAGGGACACTGAGGGATTTGGATTAGATGAGCTCTAAGATTCCTTCTGTCTCTAGAGACTCCATAAATGTGTGATTCTGGGTGGACTTCATTACAGAATGTCCTCAGTTGTTTGAGGCCTTATACTTAGTGGTCTTCTAAATTATCTCTAGATTGAGCTTATCAGTCTATGTTGTATTTCATTCGGGTTTTGGGTAGCAAGTTTAATTCATCTGACTTAAATCATGGGAGAGAAGGAAGTGCACAATCTATGTTTATCTTGTTTTTTAAGAAATCAGAAACACTTGCCATTGCTGTGAGCAGCTTGTTGGCTCAGAGCTGTGGGTGGTGGACTGGGGCCCCCAAGTTCAGTGCCCCTCGCCGTCACAAGTGTTGCCGACGCTAACTGCTGCTGCAGATATCGGTGAGAGCAGGGAGAGAGCGGAGCTCCCTGGCTGGGAGGGGAAGCGGCGGAAACAAACCTGGTTCTGTCAGCTGCCATCACCTCTCAGCCCGGGATTCAAGAACCTATGTTCTCCTCACAGAGAGACATGTGGTTGGAAATTCGCAGTTCAGAAGGCTGAGTTTTAACTTGAGCCGTAAATAATAGGCAAGTGCCCATAAATAGTGGGCCATGTATTGATTTTTGCAAAAGGGGAGGGCGATTAGTGTTGTGGAAAATAAGAAAATGAAAACACATGTTCAGAGGATCCGCCCTTCCACGATCAGCATTTCTACCCCTAATCATCTCCACTCATCATTCCTTTCTACACTTTTCTCAAAGAGAAATATGAATAAGGTTTTTCCATTCCTTTTTCCTCATTGTGTTTCTGAATTACGGGCCCCTTCCTGTGCAGGGCTCATTTCTGAACCAATAGAGCTTCATCAGCCAAAGCTTTGGGCAGTCGCTCCTTTAATATCTAATTTATTTGGTGTGAATGTGAGCCAGTGAACTCCAGTCAGCCCCAATTGCGAGTACCACATCAACTGTAATACAAACAATAATAAAAATAATCATTTTCTTGACCAAAGAGAAACGTTTTCTGAGCCTACCTTTTAGAATTCTGGTTCCCACACTGTTCAACCATGAAAAAGCATTGGATGGATCCCTGTGAATACTAGTGGCACCATTACTACCCATGCATGACCCCAATTACTCAGAACTAGGCAGCAAATTAAAATGAATTTTATTAACTGAACACATACACATTGGAAACATATATGAGATACTATTTTTCTGGGCTACTGGCCATGCTTAGAACACTTAAGGATTCCTGGATTGCTTAAAGTAACCCAAAAGTTGGGATTCTAGAATTCGGATAGATTATTCAGTAAAGGTATTGATAGGTTCTGGTTGCTTTAATAGAGAGTACATTAAATTTCCGAATTGAAACTAAATTTTTCAATAGCCAGAGAAATAAATTTGACAGGGCCTTTCTTTCAGCTTTTAGCTTTCAGCTTCCATAGAATGAACATGAGGAAGCCATAAACTCTGATTCCACGTATGTTGAGATAATTTATGAATTATACAATGTTCTCTCTCTCCCTCACTTTTATCGTCTAGTTTGTGGTTATAAAGGAACACCAGAATCTCAGCAATGGGAATCAACCTGTGGCCCTTCAAGAAGGCCAGGCAGCAGATGTTGGCCAGTTTTTCTCCCGGGAGCCTGGTGAACGGTTATCTTCACCTTCATCCTGAATGTCTTCCTGAATGTTAAAGGTCTCATTTAAGCATAGAAACAATAGTTAAATTGGATAAGCTGTGTGAGCAGCTGGGCTGTATTGAAATGCCACTGAGCTTCAGAGAAAGATATTTGGACTGGATTCCTGCCTTATGTGAGGTTACCATGCTCCCTTAAAACTCTGAGCAAGCACACCATGAGTTGACTCCTTATTTGAGTTAGGTTGGGTTTCGAGGTTGTTCTTGGGGTTTGGGTTTATATAGGTAGGAATAATTCCAGGGAGATTATCATTGGCTCCAAGAAAATGTGTTTCATGTTGTAGAAGAAAAGGTTCCTGTAAATTTAAGTTCATCAGGGAGTTCTCCTGGGGATCAGGGAATATTCAGGTCTTATCAGGGGCTAGCCCTCAGCTAGATGCCTGGGCACTTGTGAAATCCAGCCAGGGCACTGGGAGAGAAGGCACAAAGTCAATCTAGGTCCTCCAGCTGTTCTGGAACTCAATCTGCCTCAGGTAGAAATGGAGTCAGATGTGCTTTGACACAATACCTTGGAAAAAAGTTGTGTTATAATAAGCTTCTTGGACTCAGTCTCAGATATCAAAGTTCTGTTTCATAATTTAGAGAACAAGGTTCCATATGCTTTGTATAATAAGCCTTGAGAAATGTTCAGAGAAACTTCAACAAAAACAGTTTCTCTGTTAGTTTCTAAGCTGCACTTATATTTTCTGGTGTTTGCCCTTCACAAATATGCTTATTACTGTAGTCTATGTTGTAGAGAGAACATAGACTTCTTATTTTAAAAACCTACTCTAAATTGACCTCTCACACATGTATTGCCATGGAATCCAATTCAGTAGAACTTCACTTTCTAATTTGAGGAAGACCCTGAATATTAAGGTACTCTTAAGAATTGACTATTAAAATTACAGTAAATATTAGAGTGCTATATATACTGTTTACCAATGTTGTTACCTAGATAACAAAAACATTCAGCATTTTCAAAGGTCACTTGGATTTTGTTATTAGTAGCCTTATTAGAAAGTAATGGAATAACTTGTTACGTACTACTTTTCTTGAAGAGCTAAAAACACATAATTTCTTTGTTAATCAAAGTAATCCACTTTAGAGGCACATAAAATGTAATTGTGCAAGTTAGTCAATAGTACAGTGATTTGACCTGAGTATGGTTAAATTCAGAAAAGAGCTAAGGACTCTGCTGAGTACTCAGGAGTAGATTAGGCTATTTCTCTTTTTGCTCGCTCTACTGCAAACAGTCTGATCCATTCTCTGTGGGCCACTCATATAACTGTCTCCTACTATGAGTGATCACATCCCCAATCATGTCCAGCTGTCTCATAAATGCCTGTGGTGAAAGTGCACATCGCGATTGGAGGTGCAGGGGGAGAGTGGAGAATGGGATAAAAGATCAAGACTGGCTCTCTGCCAATTCCTTCTCTGCTCCTGGAAAACCTATTAAAATGCAGGTTGTGTTAGTGGTGGACCCATAGAACCCTATTCATTGACCGCAGCCACATCAGTTGGTGTGGGTTAAGTGCAAAGCGCCACGAGAGGGGCAGAGCGCCACGCTAGGGGACAGGACTGCGAGCGCGATTAAAGCCTGAGCTCCGTTCTCAAGTCATTGTGGTCCAGATGGGGAGAGAGGAGCTACACAGGGCATGCTCTTAAAGCGCAGTGTCAGGCAGCACAGTCCTTGGAATCGTCTCAGCCAACCAAACAGTTTTAACTTTAAAAAGGCTGAGTACAGAATGGTCTGGGAATGGGTTCATTTTGGGTTGCATATTTCAGGCTTATTCTTCAGCCACTACTATTAAGGTCTTCCTTGTTAAAGATGAGGAATGATGTGAATTCTAAAATGTCTTTCTTTCTTCCTTTCTTTTTTTTTTTAAAAACACATATAGGGTCAGTGCAACAGCATCACTGAGGAAGGAGCCCCAGATGTGTGTAGGCACAGAGCACAGCTGCGACATTCCACCATCGGGTGATAATGGCTCTGCTCTCCAGAGAATGGAGTGTAGCTTTCCTCTCCCTTCCCGTGGGGCGCACCCACTGCACTGGGGGTTGAGAAGCCCCGTCCTCCCTGGTCAGCTAACCCATCATGGCCACAAAGGACCCCAGATCCACCACACCAAGTAGAGCTGATTCCGTGAAAACTGGAAGTTGGAGAAGCACTAACTGTATGTGTGGACAGTAATACTTTGTTTCAAAAAGTAGAGGGAAAAATACAAATTTTGACTCCACAGTTTCTACAACTAATCACCTGCTGAGCATTCTGGAAACAAACATGAATTATATTTTTGCTTCTTCCTTCAAGCAGTCCCATGGCAGATTTTCAAGTTAGAGTAACTGGGACAACCACTAGATAACTCATTACAAACCAAATGGGGATATTTGCGCTTTATAAATTGTGTTGTCTTCAATAATCAATAGGGTTTTTCCCCCTGCAGCCTCAGAAGCATTCTGGGATTAAAGCAGGCAGTCACACTGGTTTAGTCAGTTATAAAGTAATTTCTTGTATCTGGACAGAACATTTAGCTCAATCTAAAGAAATGATTAGAATATTAAAATTACTGTTATGATACATTGCAGGCATTTAATTTATCACTTATCATTTAACTTATCCATGCTGGTAATTTTGAGGAATGTATTATAAATTAATGAAAGATGTACTTATTTAGAAACTTATTTCTTCAGAGTTAGATGAGTTATTTTTTCTATTTTAAAATCTTTAAATGAAAACATTTTTAAAACATTACCCGAGATGCCAGTGTTTCTCAGTTATTACTATCCTTTCCCCCTCAGAAGTTTTTTCTAATGAAAATGGTAAATTTTCCTTTTATGTGTTTGCAAAGAATTTTCACTTATTTTCAAATGTGAGATTGTAAGCAAATCGCCAGATTTATTTTCATTATGAACAACAATCAATTTCTTCTAATTATTTAAATAAAATCACCATAAAATATAAACACTTATTTATTGTATACCTGGTTAAAGTTGAATCAAAGAGATTTGCCAAACTTGTTATTGTTACTCCTTTAAAAAAAAATTCTTTAACTGTATACATTTTACAAAGTGTTCTAAATAAATATCATTCTTGCAGCTCAGGCATTGTTACTACAATTTACACAACCTGACACAGGAAATGGGGATTGTTCAGGCTTTGGATTGTTTAGTTCCTGCATTAACTGGCCCCCTTTGTTCAACTTTTCTATCGTTTTTCTTCAATTCCTTGGATTTTGCTTACACCAGAATTCAGCATAAAAAATGAATTGAAGTACATCTCTTCAAGTGGATACCCCTTAGAAATTTTAGTAAAGATCTGGTGGAGGGTGGGGAGGGTAACTTACATTAGTTAAATATTCAGTATGACCCTTTTCCCCAGTTAACTTAGATTTTTGTCTATTCAGTTTTGCTTTGACAGTTGATATACTGGAGGATCAGAAGACCCATCTAGTATTTCTTTTTTTAAAAATTACATTTTATTGATTATGCTATTATAATTGTCCCAATTTTTTCCCATTTGCCCCCCTCCACTCAGCACCCCTCACTCCTTCAGGCAATCAATCACCCTGCCATTGTTCATGTCCATGGGTCATGCATGTAAATTCTTTGGCTACTACATTTTCTATACTGTACTTTTTAAAAAAATACTTTAAAATGTTTACCAAATAAAAACAGTGACATAATTTCTGGGAATAATAAGGACAATGCTAGAGTAAATAATAAAGAGAGGACCCAATTTAAGGAATGGGAATATCTTTGAGGAGTCACATTTAAGCTGAGATCTGAAGGAAGAATTAGAGTTCACCAGAAATACAGTATTCTAAGTCAAGGGAATATGTTCCCTTCTATATTGGGAAGCTCCTCAAGATTTCTTTTGTTTGCTTTTAAATAAACTTTTCACTTTAGATTGATTTTAGATGTACAGATAATACAGAGATAGATCACAAAGATAATACAGAGATGGTGTTATTATCTAACATTACTATAGTATACTTGTCACAAATAAAGAATCAACATTAGCTATACTGTACTTTATATCTCATGGGTATTCTGTAACCACGTATTTGTACTTCTTAATCCCCTCACCTCTTCATCTATTCCCCAACATCCCCCTCCTGTCTGGCAACCATCAAAATGCTCTTCACATCCATGATTATATCTCTGTTCTTCTCATTTGCTTAGTTTATTTTCTAGATTCAATTGTTGATAGATATGTATTTATTGCCATTTTATTCATAGTTTTGATCTACTTTTTCTTAAATAAGTCCCTTTAACATTTCCTATAGTAATGGTTTGGTGATGATGAACTCCTTTAGCTTTTCCTCGTCTGGAAGCTCTTTATCTGCTCTTTGATTCTAAAAGATAGTTTTGCTGGATAGAGCAATCTTGGGTATAGGTCCCTGTTTTCATAACTTGGAATATTTCTTGCCAATCCCTTCTAGCCTGCAAAATTCTTTTGAGAAATCAGCTGACAGTGTTATGGGAACTCCCAGGTAGGTAACTAACTGCTTTTCTCTTACTGCTTTTAAGATTCTCTCTTTATCTTTAACCTCTGGCACTTTAATTATGATGTGTCTAGAGTGGGATCCTCTTTGCATCCATCTTGTTTGAGACTCTCTGTGCTTCCTGGACTTTTATGTCTATTTCCATCACCAAATTAAGGAGGTTTTCTTTCATTATTTTTTAAAACAGATTTCCAATTTCTTGCTCTTCCTCTTCTCCTTCTGCCACCCCTATGATGATAATGTTGGAACATTTGAAATTGTCCCACAGGCTGCTTACACTATCCTTGTTTTTTAAATTCTTTTTTCTTCTTGTTCTGTGTGGTTGTTTTTTTCTTCCTTATGTTCAAAATCATTGATTTGATTCTTGGCTTTATCCACTCTACTGTTGCTTCCCTGTACATTGTTCTTTATTTCAATTAATGTATCCTCCATTTCTGACTGGATCATTTTTTATGCTTTTGAGGTCCTCCCTAAGTTCCTTGAGCATCCTTATAACTAGTGATTTGAACTCTGCATCTGACAGATTTCTTATCTCCATTTTGTTTTGTTCTTTTTCTGGAGTTTTGATCTGTTCTTTCATTTGGGCCATGTTTTTGTTTCCTCATTTTGGCAGTCTCCCTTTGTTTGTTTCTATGTATTAAATAGAGCTGCTGTGACTCTGTTTTGGTAGCATGGCCTAATGTAGTAGGTGTCCTGTAGGATCCAGTGGCACAGCCTCCCCTGTCACCCAAGCTGGGTACTCAAGGTGCACCCTTCATGTGGCTGAGTACACCCTCCTCTTATAATTGAGCCTCGGTTGCTGTTCGCAGGTCAATGGAAGGGATTTAGGGTTTCCTGGATGGTGCAGGCCAAGGTCAGCCCCCACCTGTGTTATGCCCAGGGCCACCTGTTTTCATGCATGATCTAGAAAACAATCTGAGGTGGCGGCAACTTGTGCTGGGCTTGGAGATTCCCAGGTGAAGCTAAGCTGTGAATCTAGGCTGACTGTGGCTAAACCTGGGGCCACTTAGAAGAGGTTTGGGGGGGATGGGAGCACACTGAGGTCAGCTGTTTATTTGAGATGATTTAGGAAGTTGTGAAGCATGAACCAAGACAAGCCATTCATAACCCCATCTATTATTTCCGAGTGAGCTGACCTCAGAAGAACAATAGTCATAATTTTCCCAATTATATGAAAATTATATTCCTAAATATGAATATTTTTCCTTTCAAAAATGAGCATTTTTGAATCTCTAAAGGTTTAGATTATATTTTTGTAGTTTAGTACCACATTCTTTTACAATTTCAAAGATAACTAAAGAGATGACATGAGACCACAATAGCTGATAACATCTTTGAACCAGAAAATCCCTGTTTCCTTTGAGCTTTTCAGTGAATCTGATACCTCACAAACTGGAATCATGTCAAGTCCTTGATCAGGCTATAACACCAGCTCCCTCTTGGTCAGAATAAAGAAAAACTTCTATATGTTGTTTAGTGAGCAAGTCACCATGAAGAGGTAGTTTCCTCTCCTGTGGCTCCATGTCTCTACCAGAAATACCCTCCTTTAAACATTTATTTTTAGAAAGAGCATTTTCATCTAAGATATTTGATTTGCATTTTTTTCCAGACTGAGTATTCTTAGATCCTAACTCTCAATCTCACTGTGCACAATGCCTGATTGTGATTTGACAAAATGTCACTTACTACATATAAAGTGGTCATTCTGTCCACCTTTCTCACACCTAAAGAAAGCTTAGTAGGCTGCATTGTTCTGAAACCCTATGGTTCTAGTTCCATCTATTAGCCTTGATTTCCAACTGATAAATTGGATGTGATAATTGAAAATATATCAAAAGCACTAAATAATAAATTCTTTTTAAAAAACAAGTCAAACAAAAAAATAGGAGAAAGGGAAAATAACTAGTCAATTTAAGTATGTGTTCCAGGCAATATTGTATTTTTTTGTTTTACTTTTTCTTTCTTCTTTTTTGAAGTCCTTAATCTAGTCACTCTGCACTCTGCAGTTAGGCTTAGATACCACAGAGTGGGGCAGAGTCCCTCCTGGGGGCAGGGTTATTCAGTCCTCTCACACTGCTCCTGCTCAGGGGGGTGGTCTGCCTGAGCCAGATGGCTTCTGCACTATGGGGGATGAGTCAGCACTGGGATCCCGCTGGCTACTCTCTCAGTTCTCTCTCCAAAGCCTCCTTCCCCAGTCTCTCCCTCAGCATCTCTAGCCCGCTCTGCCCCCTGCCTTTGCAGGGTAAGTGGCTGCAAATAAAAATGTATGTGTTGGCCCTTTAAATGGCTCTTTGCGTCTCCAGCCACATGTCTCTGGCAGAGAGTGAACCTGCCATTTTTCACACCTGGCTGTTATCTGTGTCCTTTTTGGGCTCTGGTGCTGTTGGATGGCTAGAGATAACCACTTATGATTTATACCCTGCTCTTTTCAGGGGCATTCAACTGGCTGTTTCAATATCCTTCTGGTGCTGCTGCCTATGGGTGCCTTGCCCACCTTCTTGAATCTCTACCACACTCCTTACCAGTTAGGTTGTGCTAAAGCTGATTCTTCTGTCTGTCCGAAGTTTTAAGGCTCCTCTCTCTCTGTTGTTCAGTTGTTTGTTCCAGGTGATTTCTCCACAATTTAGTTATAATTCCAGGTTGGTCCTGGGAGGAGGTCAGCATGATTTCCTCACTCCACTGCCATCTCGATTCCAAAATTAAATTATTCTTCTCTCTTACTTAGTGTTCTTACCTTTTTCCTGTTGTTAGCACTGGTGCACACCAGGCCCACTGGGAGACGGGAATGCAAAATTCTCCCGTTGACCTCCTGACCACTTGTGCTTGTTGATCCCATTTGAGGAGATGGGAATGCCTGACTTTGCAGATTCCACTGTAAATTTCTACTTAGCCATGCATCTCTCTGCCTTAAGGGTGCTGATCTGTTCCTTTTCTCAGATCCTCCAAATTCCCTGCCTGACCTTACTCTCCCAGCTTCTCCTGAAAGTATGTGAGATCTAATTTCTATAATAAATTCTTTATTCCATAACACCCACTGATTTGCTTCCTTGATTAAACCCTGACTGACTGACACAATAGGCAAACTCAGCCAAATATTCAAGGTACTGCTAATTCATATTACACAAATCCTTCCATAGAATAAAAAAAGGAAAACAGGAAGATATACACATGACAAATAAGCATATGAAATGATGCTCCACATCATCTTTAACTTGCATTTGAAAATAACAATGGGACACTACCACACAACTATTAAAATTACCAAAATCCAGAACACTAACAACACCAAATGCTGTCAAGGATGTGGGGCCACAGGAATTCTTAATTAATTGCTATTGGGAATGCAAAATAATACAGCAATTCAGGAAGACTTGGCTGGGTTTTTTTTTACAATTAAACATACTCTTACCATATGATCCAGCAATGAACTTCTTGGTATTTACCCAAAGGAGTTGAAAACTTATGTCCACACAACAATCTGCACATAGACGGTTATAGTTTTATTCATAATTTCCAAAAGTTGGAAGGAAACAAGATGTCCCTTAGTAGGTGAATAGATAAATAAAGAGTGGTACAAACAATGCAATATTATTTAGAGCTAAAAATAAATGAACTGTCAAGCATGAAAAGTCATGTAGAAACCTTAAATGTTCATTCTGAAGTGAAAGAAGCCAATCTGAAAAGGCTACATATTGTATGGCCCCAACTCTATGACATTTTAGAAAAGACAAAACTATGGACACTATAAAAAGATTAGTAGTTCTCAGTGGCTAAGGGGGAGGGATAAATAGGTGGAAGACGGAGGAATTTTATGGCAGTCAAAATACTGTATGATACTATAATGATGGGAACATGTTATACATTCATTCAAACCCAGAGAACATGCAACACCAGTAACGCACCCTAAGATAAACTTTGGACTTTGAGTGATTATGATGTGTCAATGTAGGTTCATCAATTGTAACAAATATGTCACCCTGATGAGTAACATCTATAATGAGGGAGGCTATGCATGTATGAAGGCAAGAAGTGCATGGGAAATCTCTCTACCTTTTTCTCAAATTTGCTATGAACCTAAAACTGCTCTAAAAAGTAAATTTTTTTAAAGGAAAATACGCCTTGCCTCATTTTATGGGGATACTGTAACCATTGTTTCTAAAGTAGACAAGTATAGTACAAGAAAGGAAGATTACAGACCAAACTCAATTATGAATAATGATGCAAAAATCTGAACAAAAAGAATTCAGCAATATATTAAAAAGTAATACATCATGACCAGAGGCAATTATATTTATTATATTTTATTACATAAATCAATTTATTAAAATTGATTACATAATTATAACAAGGTGATGGGTGGGGATAAAAAATATTTAAAATCAATAACTATAACTCAACACAGTAGCAAATGGAAAGAGAAAAAACATTTTAACAGATGCAGAAAAAGTTTTCAATAAAATTCAACATCTATTCATGACAGAATCTTAACAAACTCAGAAAAAAAGGAAAATTTCTTAACTTTATGAAGAAAAATCTATTAAAAAAACCCCTTATCACAAATTATATTTAATGCTAAAATGTTGAAGAATGGGATCAAGACAAGGATGCCCTACTATCATCACTTCTATTCA